CAGGCGGAGAGGGTTCCGCTTTTACGTTGGGGTCGCCAAGTGTGGAGAAGAGGTTCCTTCCCGAAATAAATGTTGTGCGTGCCAAACCGCCAAAATAAAAAGAGCCTGTCTGTTGGTTCCGTAGAAGGAAGGAAAGGGCGACGGAAGGGGTGTTGGGGAGGAAACAGAGACGGTTGGCTGACGGAAGGAGCGATGCATAATTTCACTGTCCAAAGAGTTCCTGTTGTTCCGAAGTGCCACTGCTCATGTGTCTGGTCCGTTTATTCATGGTTACGGGCGCTGTGCCTGCCTACTCAGACGGCTCGCCGCAGGCACATGGCCCCGTCGCACCTGCCTGAGAAAGGCTGCAAAGAATTCGTAGCGACACGTCGGTTCCTTCCTTTGTGCCGCAAGTTCCAGACAGTCAAATGGACCGCCAAGGACTAGACAGGCTCTTTAAGTCTTCGAAGCAAAACCCCTGCAAATCCTACAAGTTGGGGAAAGTAGGGGCTCGCTCTTGGAGGCTCTCGTGGGCACCTTCCGGGCATGAACCCCAAAGGAAGCGTTGCCACGAGGCCGGAGCTGCAAGGAGACCTCAAAGGAAAGGGGGCAGGAGCGCCGTTGCCAGATTTAGAAACTAAAGAAGGAAGGAAGGAGCAAGCGAGGCACAGAAGGGCGAGAGGTCTTCTGCCGGGGAACGAAAAACGAGTGTCGGTTCCTTTTTTGCGATCCCTTTTACTCATTGTCAACAAACAATGCACGGTGCTCACGTACAGCGTCGATGAACCCTACCTATTGCCCCAGACTCTTTGGAATCGACTCCGGAATCGTCTCAAGAGGCCAGCTCGATCGTCTCCATCATTCTGACCAACAACCGCCTCGTTCCGCCCTTAACAACATGGCGCGAAGCCATTTCCGGCCAGGCGAGCGAACGTAGCCACAGCACACGACATGTCACAACAGAAGACGACAAAACACAAAACACAGTACACAGCTACCCTATGTGATGATGCTCTGCTAAAGTTAGTTTGATTCGAACGGCAAGTGTCGCACAATCTGACCGTTTTAATACTAATATTGCTTTCTACCAACAGATCTCCCTGTTCTTCATGGCCTTTGTCGCTACGGTCTGACCAAAGCTTGGCTCTCTCCCATGGCCTTCGTTCTCTCGCATCATTACGATCCCAGCCTAGCGGCCTGCTCTAGCCCAACTAGCGCTCCAGGGTGGTTTGCAGAGGCCGCGTGTTGTCCAGTGAAAGGAGGGGGAAGAGTGAAGAGAATATGACAGCAAAAGAAAGAGAGAACTCACCCTCCGAGACAACCTGGTTAATCTCATCCTTGGGGCCCGGGTCCGTGGCCAAGACCGTGCAGGGTACATGAGCTCGTGTCCCCAGAACATGGCTTAAGCTCTTGGGGTTGATGCAGCCAAAAAGGATAGGGAACAAAGAAAAAGGGACAACGACGATGCAACCCAATACAATGACCAAGTTTCATTCGAGCAAGCAACTCTGCGCCCCGTCTTTTGGAGAAGAGCTGGTCACGCTCGAAAACAGACGCCTTTTCAACCCGTTCTGTTTATCATCTTCCTCGGAATCTTCCCCAGATTCCGTCTCTATTGCTCCCTTCCTCCAACCCGTACTCCATACGAAGTGATCCATACTCCAGACTCCATGCTCTTACCCCATTCTCGTCCCCATCCTTTGTGTGTCTCGCCTCCCCCAACCTTGTCTCTCGGAGAAGCTTCCCCTTTCTGTGTTTGTTGGTATGCATTGACTACGTTTCTTTCTTTTGTATTTGTTATCGTCTCTCGCAGGGATATACAGAATATAAGAACAAACTGGACACCCGTCCTGTTCTGTTGTGCCGAGTGACGATCTTGTCCTTTTTCTTCTTTTGTATTTTCTCATTTCGTCCCCTTTCTTCGCTCTTGTCATTTAGTTCACCCTCTGAGTCTTTACATCTCTTTCATCTTTGTTCTGACTTCTTCTCCCCGTCCTTTTATTGCACCCTCCCCCCTCAAAATGTCGGCCGACAGAAACTCGATCCACGAGGGCAAGGTGGTCCACGAGTTCATCGACGGCCAGGATGTCGCCAAGGTCGCTCACATCGACGGCACCGTCGACTACATTGACGCCAATGCCGTTGGCGGTGACCTAGAGGACATGCCCAAGGGCTACTACTACAGTCCGGCTTTCCTGGGCACCATGGTGGTAAGTACAGAGAGAGCGTGAGCTGTCGTCCAATCCACGCCACATCACCATTGCATCTTGCTTCTGCTGACACCTCTCCGAAGGCCATCTGCTGCGCTTCCATCTGCGCATATCTCGGTTGGGTGCTGCCCGCCAACACCCTGTCCCTCATCAACGCCGACCTGGGCAACTCTCCCGATATCAACTGGGTCGCCACCGTCTGGACGCTCGGCTCCTGCATCGGCTTCCTGCTCATCGGCCGTCTCTCCGACATCTTCGGCCGCAAGTGGATGGTCATGGGCACCACCTTCCTCTCGCTCGTCGGCTGCATCGTCGGCGCCGTCGCCAAGAATGTCAACACCCTCATCGGCGCCAATCTTCTCAACGGCCTCTCGGCTGCCGGCCAGCTGTCGTTTGGTATCACCCTTGGCGAGCTCGTCCCCAACAAGCACCGCGGCGTTGTCGTCACCATCTGCTTCCTGTCCAGTCTGCCGTTTGCCGTCTTCGGCCCCATCATCGCCCGCTCCTTCATCAACAACACTGCCGCGGGCTGGCGCTGGAGCTACTACATTGGCATCATTCTCAACGGCATCACCGCCATCCTCTTCTTCTTCCTCTACCACCCGCCCAGCTACACCCAACTTCATGTTGCTGGCAAGACCCGGTGGCAGGCTGTCAAAGAGATTGACTACGTTGGCATTTTCCTTTTTGTCGGCGGCTGCGTCCTGTTCCTCATCGGCCTGTCCTGGGGTGGCACCATCTATCCCTGGGCCAGCGTCCAGACTCTGTGCACCCTGCTCATTGGCTTTGCCACGATTGTTGCCTTTGTCGTCTGGGAGGCCTACTTCTGTAAGGTCCAGCCCCTCATGCCGCCCCGTCTCTTCAAGAACAAAGGCTTCGTCGGCATTGTTATTGTCGCCACCATTGGCGCCATGATTTACTACTCCATGACCGTCCTCTGGCCCACCATTGTCGGCACCCTGTACACCACCGACAGCCTCCAGATTGGCTGGCAGTCGTCGGTCGTCGGCGGCGGCATTCTGCTCGGCCAGGTCCTCGGTGGTCTCGCGCTCGGCTACGTGCCCCGCGTCAAGATACAGGCCGTCATTGCCTCGATCTGCGCCATGGCCTTTATCACCCCGCTTGCCTCCATCACCACCGGCACCCACAACATGTTCCTCGCCCTCGGCATTCTCGGCCTCGTCTCCATCGGCTACGTCGACAACATTACCTTCCCCGGTGTCACCCTCGTCCAGGAATCCCAGGACATTGGCCTCGCCACTGGTGTCATGGGCTCCATCCGCGCGCTTGGCGGTGCCGTCGCCCAGGCCCTGTATGTCTCGGTGCTCAACAACAAGCTGACTACCAACATCCCCAAGTACGTTGGCGCCGCCGCCACCGAGGCCGGCTTGCCCGATTCTTCTCTGCCTGCACTGTACGCCGGCATCACTGCCGGCAATTTTTCTGCTGTTCCGGATATCACCCCCGCCGTCGAGGCCGCCGTCGGTGCCAGCCTCCCCACGGCCTATGCCGAGAGCTTCAAGATTGTCTTTTACTGCACCATCCCCTTTTCTGTCATTCTCATTGCCGCCGCCTTCCTGGTGCCCAACATGGAGCCATACCTGCACCTCAACGTCGCCAAGAAGCTGCAGACCCGCGCCAATATCCAGGCTGCCGAGAAGAATGCCACCATTGACCAAGAGAAGGCAAATGTCGTGCAAGCCGAGACCGCCGCCCACGTCGAGGACGCTGCCTCCGCGGCCACCGTGCCGCTTGAATCGGTGGCTGTTCCTGCGGCGGCTGCCGAGCGGACATAAACCGTTTTCTCTTTTTTGTTTCCTTATTTCTCCTTTTTTCGTGTCTTCTGTTGGCAAAATTAAATTTTTCGTAATGAATGACAAAAGGATGCATTGTCTCGTCCGAGATAAAGTCGTTTTTGTCCCATAGGATACCAGGGCATGCTTTTTCATAGTCCACTCAAACAAATATTTTAATATTTTTCTACTTTGACATTTTGCTTTATTTGTCGGCGAGTAATGACATTAGCGAGAAAAAAAAACCATAAAGGTTACTTTTACAAGTGAGAAATTATATAAGACATTGCAGTATTCAGGACAAGATAAGCAGTGGAACTATAAATCATACTTAGAAATTAATGTAGACTTTGAGGGTATTATGTCATTATATTGCTATTTTGCCTATTTGTTTTAAGTTTAGAGTATGAAATCGTTTCGGGTCCTTTGCTTTTTTTGTTTTCTTTTCCGAAGGAAAACTTTTTGTACAGTTTCAAATCATATCTACCGTCATAATCCGTGAATGACCTCGCTGTACGGAATACGTTAGTACGAAGAAGACCAACATTGGTTCTTATCACTAACTTTCAGCGCCTATTCAGTACTGGTTTCCAAAAAATAGACGCTTACTTCACTGTGTTAGCTTATTCCCACATTCACACACAATTATTTATATCCTTGCAATTGAGGACTGGTTTATTTACTTTTTTAAGACGTTCGTATTATTCGTATTAACTTTCGGGGCCTCGCCGGGCACCCTGGGACTTTGGTATTGTGAAAATGAACGGAAGAAATGAAAAGGAAAAAGTCATCAAATCGAACGTCAAGCGGAGAAACATATAAAAAAGAGACCATCCCGCCATCACACACATTACATTCTCTAACTGTTTTCTTTGTCTTGTCCACTGCCAGCAAGTCTTACGACCAACTCAGTTTTATAATTGCGTTCGATGATTACACTCGCCTTTCCAGCGGGTGGAGCATTAATTGACCGTGGATGCTGACAATGTCTGCGCCAACTGAAAGTGCATTCGGCACTTTACAGCAGGACGGCGGCAACACCGGCAGCAGCGGCCAGGATGCCAACGGGGGCAGCAGTAACGATGGGAGCCTAGAGAGGTTAGAAAAGCAGTTCAAAACATGATGCGCTGCAGCAATGATAGAGAAGGGTGAACTCACGAAAGCCTTGCTCGAAGAGGTCGAGCCAGCAGCACCACCAGCCTTGGAGGTGGCCGAGCTGCCAGCCTCACCGGCTTTGGAAGTAGCAGAGCTGCCAGCCTCGCCAGCCTTGGAGGTGGCCGAGCCGGCGGCACCGCCAGCACCGCCAGCACCAGTGCCGCTAGCACCGCCGGCACCACTGCCGCTGGCACCCGAGGCACCAGCGCCCGAGCCGGAAGCGCCGCCGGCACCGCCAGCACCGCCAGCACCACCAGTGCCCGAGGCAGAAGCACCCGTGCTAGTGGCGGTGGCGCTACCACTGCCACCGTTGCCAGAACCAGCGCCGCCAGTCTTGCCAGCGCCAGTTCCAGAGGCACCCGTAGTGGCAGAACCACCCGAGCCACCGGCACCACCGCCGGCACCACCGCCGACACCACCAGCACCGCCACTGCCACCGGCGGTCGTGGTCGAGCCAGAGCCAGCGCCGCCGGTCCTAGTGGGCTCGCTGCCGCCAGTGGTGGTGCCAGTGTGGCCGCCAGCACCGCCAGCACCACCAGTAGTAGTGGTGGTGTGAACAGCGACGCCAGCCGACGAGCAGAGGGAGACACCGTACTTGACAACCTCAGCGGCGTTGGAGTCGCTGCCGCAAGACTCGTACGAGCAGTCGCGGATGCCGAAGATGAAGTTCTCGTTGCTGCACAGGCACTTGTAGTCCGTAGACGAAGGGCAGCCCAGGGCGCTGCTCTGGCCGGCCATGTTGTTGATACAGGTGGTCTACATTGGGTGTTAGCGTTAGAGGAATTTTCGAAGACGGGCATATGTCCGGGCGTATGTCCATGTGGATTGACGAGGGTCAAAACATACACCGCAAGCAGGGAAGTTGGCGGGGAACTGAGCGTTCACGACCGCAGCAGCCACAACGGTGGCGAGGACAGCACGGGAAACCATTTTGGATAGAGGGTTCTGTAAAGAAAAGATGGTTAGTTTTGTGCAATTCATGTCAATGTACCGGACGCTTGGTTACCGTCCACAAGGTGAATGAATGCGGGCTGACTTTAGATGTAGTGTGTGCGTGTGGCTTGCGCGCGAATCTTTTCTGACGGCGAAAATAGGTGTGAGAAAAGGGATAGAGTAAGACGAGGATAAGGTGAGGAAGGAAAAGAGAAGAGAAGGAAAAAAGAAACAGATCAAGGGAAACAAGATTTCCAAGAAAAAGCTGGCAAGGGATCACCCGAGGTTGATATATATTCATGAACCGACTCATTGACTGCAAGTCATGGGTTGAGTTCAACACAGACCAAATATGGGGGCGTAATCAAGTGGCAGGACCCGCCCCATGACAGATCTGAGCTAAGCCCAACCGATCGTTCGACGAAAGAGTTCGGGACGATGAATAAAGTGAAGGTAAAAGGGAGGGGGGGGGGTGGGAAGAGAAAGAGGGTGCAGGAGAGTCGACCGCCAAGTGGAGAGACACTGGACGCGGACAAATAAAACAAAGCTAGGGAGTTGTGATGGTCTGAATGCAATTTCAAAAAGGGACGGAGACGAAGCGGCGCGTCTTTCGTTGACCCTTTTTAAAATTGAAACTTTTGGCGTACATGAATTTCGGTGTAAAATGGTTGGCTAGAGGTGGTTGTCCATGGCGAAGATGGTGGTATCGGAAGGAAAGTGAAAAGGAGAAAGGGTAAAAGGAGGCAATATGGAGAGCCAACGAGACAGGAGAGAAGAGATGCCACCCAAGAGAAAACTGGAGAGCATTGACTCTGCTTCTCCCGTCTGCCCCGTAGCATGCAAACACCCGTGGACGTGGGCCTTGTGGAAGCCAATGCAACAGACGATGTCTCACTTACAGAAAATCAGGTACCGTTGAAAGGTAGGCTGGACGGAATTGCCGTTGGAGACGAGATTGGGATTGGTCTTGGTAGGAGTTAGCGAGGAAAATGAGAGATGTTGACGATGGTCAAAAGGAGAAAAGAGGAGAGGGCAAGGCCTTTGCGGGAGGGAGGGAGAGAGGTAGCGAGGGATAGATATATTTGTGTTTTTTTCTTCCTTTTTCTGGTGATGGAATGGACCTGGGGCCTGGGACCTTGGACCATGGACAACGGGGAGGGAGCCACAGGTGACATGAGCTAAGACGACGGAAAAGTACATTTGGCATACGTCTTTGACAGACGGATTGCAAGACACAGCTGCCAGGACTCAGAGCGGGTTGTTGCTCAGCATGACGGCACGGAAGAGGGAAGAGGCAAAAAACAATATGTGTAAAGCAAGAGACTGGGACGACCAGGATGTGCTGTACGTACCTTACGCGAAGAGGAAAGTGGAGAAGATGGTGTATGTTTTGGTGCTGAAAAAAGGAAGCATGAAAAGATGGAGAGAGAAGATGGAAAATATTTTGGAGCGAAGAAGGTCAGGAAGACATGGGCGACTGGAGAAAAAAAAGTTGGCAGGCGCGCGTGGGGAGGCGAAACGAAAGCATTACAAAACAGAAAGAGCGATCATGGACGCGTCAAAGACAGATACCACTACAAAACGGAAAGAGCGACTGGTCAACAGATGGCAACTTGAGTAGCTCTGTTTTTTAGGAAGGTACGCGGGCTACATGGGGAGCACAGAGTTTCCAAGCAGGGAAAGTGCGATGCATCGTGATTGGGGAGAGAGGGGGGGGGGGCAAACCTGTCCGAGCAGAACAAGGAACAAGAGGGAAAGAACGAACAAACGACCTAAAGGGTAGCTCCATGACTGGTCCATTCTTTTTCTTCTCTTTCTCTTTTTGGCTCATTGGTACTGGAGCCGGATCGTGATCAGACGACGCAGCAGGGAGCAGGAGAAAAGGCGACTCAGCAAGTGTCTCTGTTCTAGCTGCCGATCGCAGTTCCCGACCACGCTAACCATGCGCGTTTGATGTGAAGGCACACTTGTCGTGCGGATGTAGGTACAGACAGAGACACAATACGCACAGCCGGATGTTGGCAGGTGCAGCTGCTTGCGGATGAAGAAACGCGTCCGGCAGCTACAGATGGAGAGGCGAACATGGCAGGAGCGGCCTCCGGTTCTTCCCCAAGAAGCCAAGCCACAGACACATATCTTACGACTAAGGAAGCTAAATCGTGGGCAGGATGGCCGTGTGTGCTGAATCGGGAGCTGCTGTCTGTCGTCAGTGGCGCCTGCCGTGGTTGGTAGGCAAGTGAGAAGGGTGGAGATGCCGAACTTCGAAGCTCAGATACAGTGATCCCCCTGTCAGAAAGATACAAGTAATTGAAGTAATTGCCTCGTCTGAGAGGCTTTGGACATCTAGCCACGGTCAGCCACCAGTCAATTGGACTGCCATTGGCCTGCCAGTGCCTTCCGATGGAGTCATTGAAGTTCAATTGGCCGTGCGCATCAGCGCATCTATCCCGGATCGTTCTTTCCCTGGCCCAGTTTGCGCCTGCTCCGGGTATCGTCTGAGGTTCTGAGTTTTGAGCTGGACAGGGATGTGTTGAGGTGACGAGCTAGGGGTGTTCGCCCCCCCAGGCCAGGCCCCCCATGCTCCTTCCGCAGGTAAGCTCCGCGCAAGATCCCAAGGTCCAAGGCCGGAGGCCCAATGGGTTTGAAAAAAAAAAAAAACACAAATCGAAAGAGACGGCGGACAAGAGTGGGTCTCTCCACTTTTTGGGGCCTGGCCTGGACGCAACCATGCCCAAGACAGCCGGCTATGACGAAATGGGGCCTGAGCGGTGTGGTACATGCACCAAGCCGGTCTTAGCATTACAGAGGACCATGCTGGCCAAAACAGCAAAACAGCAAAACAGCAGCAGGCCAAATTGACCGTGTGCAAAAGCTATTGGCCGTCGAAACACATTCTCCATTCTCGAGAAACCCAGAGTGCCAGAGAGCATCCGCATCCCGGCTGCGAATGGTTCTGGATGACTTTGGATGATTTGGTCATTATGACATCGTTGGGGCGGCTTTCCGGACCGTTGGTCGGCTCGCCATGTCTTACTAGTTGCCCCCTGGTGCTGAGTGAGAGCCTTTCGCAAACGGTCCAAGCAGTCAGGAGATATCTTACCGGTCAACAGACTCGATGGCGTCGCTATCGAGCTTCGATATGACAGCAAGCGCTGTGTCGGTTTTCTCATCACGTGGCAGCACAAGAGCATCAACTAGAAGCGGGAGCTCTTTGGAGATGGGGAAAACAAGAGGAGAGGTGCAAGGGCCACGTAGGATGTGGCACGTTCAGTGCACAGCGCCAGCAAAGGTTCTAGACCGGACGCACGAGGCAATTACTGACCTGGGACGTGGAGGAGGTTGGTGATGGCTGACCTTCCTCGGCGGCTGGCCATCAACGGTGGCTGTGATTGTCGATATGGTCGTGGCCATGTAGGACGACAACAGCGGTCAAAAATCAGTGGACCCAACGATGGACCAGCGACGGAGTCGACAAGCGAGTTGTTGTCATTGTTGGCATGAGATTCGCAACGAACAAACCAGCTGAACAGAGCTGAAAGGGAAAAGGGTTAAATGCGACGGGAAAAGACCCGAAGAGCTGAAAAAAAGCTGCGCAGACAGCAACTTTCGGCTTTGCTAGCGTCGGCCACCTCGAGCTACGATACCATCCCTGTGGCTGCGTCGTCTCTCTTCTGTCGCTGTTGCCGGGGAAGAAGCAATGCTCCGGTTTGCCGTAGTACTTCGTAGTGCGTCGGTAGCATCTTACAACTGCGTTGTATTGCGGTCATACTACCACTCTGCCACTCCACTCGCTTTCAAGTGTATCTCACGAAATAACAAAAAATGGGGACGGGGTTAGTCGATTGGGTTTCCCGCCGATATCTCCCACTGCAACCTCTGATCGAGCGGCCCAATCGCCGCTCGAACGGGGTGCAATCTCACGTCGCGCTGGGGAGACCCCTGTAGCGCAGCCAATAGGCGATGGCCAACAAGGGGACGAACCAAGGAAAGAAGACCCAGACTGGTTCCATGACAAGCATAATCCATAATCGCACTACTCCGTACGAAATACATTGTATGGGCTATGGGAGACGGAGAGCACAGGCGCCGATCGTGGGTGGCTGGTCGCCAGTGGCCTATCGCCCCTGCCATTTCCGGTGTGATTGGGGCCTGGCCCGGTTGAAATCGGGGCAGGCACTGGCGGCCAGGCCCAACCCGCTTAACTGAATATGGCCGTTTTTCTATGCTGCGTTCCTTTTCAGATTCATTTTGCCGTGGTCGCCGTCCAGCACAACAACAACGAGGCCCACCAAGCACAGCGCATCAAGAACAGGAAAATCGCGCTGCTGCACGGAGTGGCCGGGGGGGGGGGGGGGTTGGTGGCTGCTGGTGCCGCCATTGGTCCAAGCACGTCCAGCTACCTGTTCTCGTTCACATTACTGGGTGTTTCCTGTGACGAGAGACGCGGAGACGCAGACTCGCAGAGACACTGCAGGGGGATTGGGGAACCTGTCTGAATGCGTTGGCGTTGGAGCTTGTTGACGTCGGCGAGTCATACATTGAGAATTAAGCAGGGGCATTGTGCAGCCCACGATGTATTGTCTGCTTGCTTGGCCACAGGAAACAGGGAAGGAACCAGCGCGTGCCACGGACCAAGAGACAGAACAGGGAAGGCACCAAAGCCTACTTCGTACACCTGGCAGCCGACGATCGCTCCTGAACGAGCGTACTGTGTAAACAGTTTGTCCCACACCCCTCCGGAAGACGATCGCTCTTGCAGTCTGCAAAGTGGAAAATGAACAAGGGCGCGCTGTTGCAGGCACAGGCACAACACCCGAAGAGGAACTGTTGTGGTAGGAATGATCGACAAAGTATCGATGTTCTCCCTGACCGCCAACGACAAATCGACCTGCCGAGACCGCGAAATTGCGACAATGCAAAACTGGCGATGCCCTCATTGTTCACGCTTCCCTTATTCTTCTTTTCTGGACTGGCCGAAATCCTACTGGCCCTGTTTCGTATCTCGCCGTTTGCGTCCTGTGTCGAGTCGGTCGTCTTTGCATTCCCTGCTCTCTTCTCTCCAAAGCGTTGCCCCTGTTCTATATCCTCACGACCATCGATTGACCTTCGTCGTCTCACTTGATCTACTCCATTTTGTGCCAAGACAACAGCTCCAACCAAGCGATTTTACTTTCACAAACTAGGAGTACAAACCAACAGGCTAGGTGGTTGCATCCTTGCCTCCATATGGTGCCCTTCATCCTAATGCAATCGTATGTCGTACACAGTTGCAGCCTTGATATCACCACAACAACGGTTTTCATGGCTGTGGTGTCCTGTGGCTGCACGGGAAAAGGGCGAAGCGAGTTGGGCTGAGAACCATGGCATGCATTCGGCCCCTTCTCCCTTGACTGTAGCTATGTTGCTTTGCAATTTGTTTTTCGTTTCCCTTGTCAGGCCTTTTTTTTTTCGACTTGCCTATGTCTTTCCTTTTTCTTCCGTTTGTCCTCTACTCGCTACTGTCTGGAGATTGCTCTCTGAGGCCCCTTTTTTAAATCGGTTGGCGTTGTGGAGTTCCCATTTCTTTGTGTGTTAATAATTTTCTACTTTTGTCTCGCTGTGTAAAATTGCCATCGACGCAACCAGGTCCATTCCATCGGGCTCCGGCACATGGATTGGAGACGATGCGATAAAGTAAAATTTATCAACTTGAAAACACTTTAACAGTCGACGGCGCCGGCACAAATCTACTTCGTAATAAGCATGAGATGAATGAGATTGTCCCCATATAATTTACGTTTGCGTTGACGATTTGGCCAACCCTGACATCGGAATGCAATCCACAACACACGAGAACAAAGTGGCCACAAAGAGTCGAGAACAAAGGAGCCAAGTCTTTCGCGATTGTAAGACCACCTTTGGCATGTCTTGTGTTTATACCCACTTCCCACTTTTCCCATTCCCTCGTGATATTCTTTTCTCAGAATGCCAGTCGAGGCAATGAGGTAATGATGCGAGTCCGTTTCTTAATCTTGCTTTGCTTTTGGGCGAGAAAGCGGTCTCTCCCTTCTCCCTCGATCCCCAGACGCGTCGTTTCCTCAGTTTTCTGGCGCGGAATTGGGAGACACAGATTCTCCCGTCGTGGCCTTTATGCACGAGCGCAGGACTCTCATCTCGTTCCCAAAATACAGACTACCTGCGTACATACTTTGTGTTGGTCTGTACAACGGCCGTCAATTTTGCGGTGATTGCAGTTCCATGAGAAACGGCAACCGCGAAACGACACAATATGAATTGCAAAGCATGTTTGCCGATACGTTGCTTGATACGGCGTCCAATATTTTGTTATTAGACCAAACAAGACATGTTCGAGTCATGTTTTATTGCCATACCACATCGAGACATCGTGAAAAAAGGAAGGAAATAACCTACCAAACTGACATCGCCGACAACGAAATGAATGTCAAGTCACAGCAAATTTGTTAAAGTAAGGGGCAAATAGGGCTTGGCAATTATGCTATGAAAAACAGGCTGCAGTACAATATGCCAAAAAGAACAAAAAAGACAGCAGTGAACTCATAGCGCATCTTTCTTTTTATTCTGTCTTCTCTTCTGCCTTCCTTTCTTCTCGTCTGTGCAGTCCCAGACGGAAAGATGGCCAATTATTGCTCTCCCCGTAAACAAACCTCTCGCAAGGCCGAGGGGAGCATAGTGATAGAAAGCAATTCCTTCATAACAAATAGTGTGTACCCGTGAAACAAAACAAAAACAAACATAAGAGAAATGGAAACATGGTGCAAAAAGGCAGATACGGGAAAAGCACCCCAAAATATACAAATCATTGTCACAGAAAGCACGTAAAGAGGCACATCACCGAAAAACAAACCCGAAAAACGGCAAAAACGGCAAACCAAATAACAGCAGATGCGGTGTTCGATGGTACAAATACATGCCTCGAATGAGTGCATCAGCACACACAGAACAGAGATTACAGATCATAGTAGAGCTCTCCGTCTAACCGCTGCACATGACGCAGGCCTCGGGGTTCTCAATGCTGCCTACAAGGTGGTTAGTAAACAGGCCACGGCAGTCAAGGCTTCATTACATGAGCGTGAACTGGAAACTTACAAGCAAGAACTGCGTCGGCGTAAATGTCGTGCTCGCGGTCCTGGGTGTCCTCGTCACCGTCCTCGCTCTGCGGCTTCTTGCCGCTCAGCGCCGGGTCCGCCAGCTCCTCAATCTTGGGCTTGCCGGCCGGCTCCGTTGGCAGTGCCTTGGGGGACTCGCCCTCCTCAACGTCGGCCTTGAAGGGGATCGGCTTGGTCGGCGACGCAGCCACACGAGGAGCCGAAACCGGAGCGACAGGCGGCGGTGGCGTCGTGCTCGGCGTCGGGATGCCGTTATCAATACCGGTCGCCGGCGCACCGTTCTTAGTGCTGACACCGTTGGTGCGGCCGTTGCTGTACGAGGGCTGGGGCATGCCGCTCGACAACGACGTGGGGTACGTGCCGCTGGGCGGCGCGCGCTTCTTGGGCGCCAGAGCCGGGCGGTTCGTATTGGTATCAGCAACGCGCAACGCCTCCTGATCCACAGTGAACTGGATCGGCTGGGCAGCCGCCTGCGTGCGCAGGTAGTACATGCCCGTCTTGAGACCCAGCTTCCAGCCCGTAAAGTGCATGCTGGTGATCTTGCCCATCGTCGGCTCGCGCATGTGGATGTTGAGTGACTGCGACTGGTCAATGAACGCGCCGCGGTCGGCCGCCATCTGCACAATCGTGCGCTGCGAGATCTCCCACACCGTCTTGTACAGCGCCTTGGTCTCGGCGGGGATGTTGGGAATGTTTTGGATCGAACCACCCTCGGCAATGATGCGGTTCTTCATGTTGTCCGACCACAGACCCATGTCGACCAGGTCCTTGAGCAGCCACGGGTTCACGACCTGGAACTCGCCAGCCAGGACACGGCGCTGGTAGATGTTGGACGTGTAGGGCTCGAAGCACTCGTTGTTGCCCAGAATCTGCGACGTCGACGCCGTCGGCATGGGCGCCATCAGCAGACTGTTGCGGATACCGTGCTCCTTGATCTTCAGACGCAACGCGTCCCAGTCCCACAGGCCCGACGGCGTGACGTCCCACATGTCGAACTGAAGGATGCCCTGCGACACGGGGCTACCCTCGTACGACGCGTAGGGGCCCTCGATCTCCGCCAAGTCCGACGACGCCGTCAGCGCAGCGTGGTAGATCGTCTCGAAGATCTGCTTGTTGAGCTCACGCGCCTCGGGCGACTCGAAGGGCATGCGCAGCGCCAAAAAGGCGTCTGCCAGACCCTGAACACCGACACCAATGGGACGGTGGCGCATGTTGCTGTTCCGGGCCTCGGGCACGGGGTAGAAGTTGACGTCGATGATGCGGTTCAGGTTGCGCACAACGACCTGCGTCACCTCGTGCAGCTTCTTGAAGTCGTAGACCTCGTTGGTGTAGTCGACAAACGATGGCAGGGCCAGCGACGCCAGATTGCACACAGCGACCTCATCGGGCGCAGAGTACTCAACAATCTCCGTGCACAGGTTGGAGCTGCGGATGGTGCCCAGGTTCTTCTGGTTGCTCTTGCGGTTGCAGTGGTCCTTGTACAGCATGAAGGGGTTGCCGGTCTCCGTCTGGGCCTCGAGAATGGCGTACCACAGCTTCTGGGCCTTGACGGTCTTGAGGCCACGGCCCTCCTTCTCGTACTTCTCGTACAGGGCCTCAAACTCCTCGCCGTAGCAGTCCGCCAGGCCGGGGCACTCGTTGGGGCACATGAGGGTCCACTCGCCGTTCTTCTCGACACGCTTCATGAACAAGTCCGGAATCCACAGGGCCAGGAACAGGTCGCGGGCGCGCACCTCCTCCTTGCCGTGGTTCTTGCGCAGGTCGAGGAACTCGAACACGTCGCCGTGCCACGGCTCGAGGTAGATGCAGAAGGCACCGGGGCGCTTGTTGCCGCCCTGGTCGACATAGCGGGCGGTGTTGTTGAACACACGCAGCATGGGAATGATGCCGTTGGACGTGCCGTTGGTGCCGGCAATGTAGGAGCCCGTGGCGCGGATGCGGTGGACGTTCAGGCCAATACCACCGGCCGTCTTGGAGATCATGGCGCACGTCTTGAGCGTGTCGTAGATGCCCTCAATGCTGTCGTCCTTGATGTCGACGAGGAAGCACGAGGACAGCTGGGCCTGCGGGGTGCCGGCGTTGAAGAGCGTCGGCGAGGCATGCGTGAAGAACTTGTTGGACATGTAGTTGTACGTCTCAATGACACGCTCAATGTTGTCGCCCCAGATGCCGACAGCCACACGCATGATCATGTGCTGCGGGCGCTCGACAATCTTGCCGTCGAGCTTGAGCAGATACGAGCGCTCGAGGGTCTTGAAGCCAAAGTACTGGTAGTTGAAGTCACGGTCGTAGACAATGGCCGAGTCAAAGTCCTCCTTGTGGCGCATGACGCACTCGTAGGTTTCCTGGTCGATCATGGGCGAGGCCTTGTGGTTGCGGGGGTTGACGTAGTGATACAGGTCGCTGATGACGGTCGACCACTGTTTCTTGGTCTGCTTGTGGAGGTTGGACACGGCAATGCGCGCGGCCAGCACGGCATAGTCGGGATGGGTGACGGTCATGTAGGCGGCCGTCTCGGCAGCCAGATCGTCCAGCTGCACGGTGGTGACACCGCCGTAGACGCCCGAGATGACCTTCTGGGTGATGGCCACGGGGTCGACGTGGTCCATGTCCAGGCCGTAACACAGCCTCGAGACGCGGGCTGTGATCTTGTCGAACTGGACACGCTCCTGGCGTCCATCTGGACGGGAGAAAGGCATGTCGTCAGCGCGCTGGCCACGGATACGGTGGATGGGGACAGACATGGGGAGTACTCACCACGCTTGCGAACAAACATCGCGTGTTGTGTGTCTGTAAGAAGCCCTTTACAGGGGAGGAATGGAGAAAGGACGATGCGGAGAAGACGACGACGACGTCGTTCGAGCTGCCTCTGATAGAGAGGCAGGGGAGCGTGTGGATGCAGACGGCAGCTGCCGGAGTCAATTAGCAATGAGATGATGCAAGAGAGACGCGTCAAAGGAGATGGGATGTGGTGATGGTTGGGCCTGGAGAGGAAACGAGAGGAGGAGAGAAGGACGAGCAGAGGGCAGACGCAGAAAAAAAGTCGTGTACCGCGACGGCCACTTTAAATGCGCTACGCGGTGACAGATGACTTAACGCGTCGATGAAAAAAAGCGGGGCAATGGTGGCGCGAGGAAAACAAAGACCCAGCAAAAGTTGAGGGCAGGCAGGATTAAGTAAGCTGACCAGTCGCCCTTTCCAGACCACAACAAGGCCTGTGCGACCCCTGGCATCTCCCCGTCGTACCTGCCCTCACTGGCCCGCCCCTCCCTCCACAGCGACGCGACAACAACGCGTTCACCGCGGAGCCTCCAAATGCCCCTCTTGCTCCATAATCAACGCTCTGCACACACTTTATGCTTTGCAATCCAGTCGCAAGCAATCCGCCCGTCTTCCGAGACAACGCGCCCACACTGCACCGCTTACCTCCAGGGCAATTGCATCCTGGAACGCAAGGCCGCCAGGCAGCAACTAGCCGCTTGCCCGTTTTGGTACCAATCGCCTGTGACTCGGCCCGCCGGACGGCCTCAATCTCATTCACAGACTTTCTGGCCTCATCTCGGCGCCAGGATCACCATCGCAACCGTGACTCACGGGGGATGGCTTGAACTCATTACAGTGGTGAAAAGCGACGTATTTATTGACCTGCGAGTCACCTCTTTGGCACTGCCTTTTTGCTGGGGAATTCTCTTGGTCTGCAAGGTCAACATTCACGCGTCCGGCGAAGACGGACAAACATTGCCATTTTTTATAGTCCAACACACACCAGATGACATCCCTACCCAAGGGTTTGACAACGAGATTGGTTCCCACTTGGACGCGCCCCGCTCGCTTCAGCTTAGCAATACACACACCGCGAACACCAAAACACAAAACACCCGTACCAGTCGTGGACCTTGTCCCAGCAACAGCCGCCCGAGCCATGTCCAATGCAGCGGATTTGGCCACAGTGCCAGCCCCGCCAGCAGCTTTGGCCAACGGCGTTCCACCTCGCCCGGACTACAGTCCCCGATATATTGACGTACGTGGCAGACATGCACAGAATTTATATCGGCTAGTGTATTGTGTTGTCGTGGCAGTGTCAGCGTGAATGGGTGCTGACAACATGGGTAGATTGGCATTAACCTTGCAGACCCCATCTTCCGCGGACGTTACCGCGGCAAGCAGCAGCATCCCGATGACCTTGCTGGCATTGTTCAGCGTGCTCGTGATGTCGGCTGCTCACGACTCATTGTCACCGGTTCCAGCTTCAAGAGCTCCCGTGACGCCTTGAAGCTGGCCGGGGATTTTCGTATGTCTTGCGCGTCCCTTGACGCCATGGACGTCACCATGTGTCTTGTAGCTACCTGCTAACAATTCCAGCCAACACTGTTTTTGCAACGGCAGGCATCCATCCCTGCAGCAGCGCCATCTTTGAGCGGAGACATACACGGCACCATGAGGTCGACCTCGATGACGACGCCGAGGAGCACACGCCCGCGTGCGGTCCCGACCCCACAAAACCACATGCTGAGGACAGCGACATCGACCTGGCCAAGTCGGCACAGCTCATCGAGGAGCTGCGCAAGCTTGTCCTGACGGCCGAACCCACGAATGCGTTGGTGGCGCTCGGCGAGATGGGCCTCGACTACGACCGGCTCCACTTTTGCTCGGCCAGCACGCAGCGGCATGCCTTTGCCGCGCAGCTGGCCCTCGTGGCCGATCTCGCCGCGGCCGGTCACCAGCTGCCGCTCTTTTTGCACTCGCGCGCTGCACATGCCGACTTCTTGCGTCTGCTAAAGGACCAGTTCGGCCCAACGCTCGAGAAGCTGCCGCGTGGCGGCGTCGTCCACAGCTTCACGGGCACGATGGCCGAGGCCCAGGAGATGATGGACCTTGGGCTGTACCTGGGCGTCAACGGGTGCAGTCTCAAGACGATGGAGAACTGCGACGTGGTGCGCGCCATCCGTTTGGACCGGCTGATGCTCGAGACGGACGGGCCTTGGTGCGAGGTGCGGCCGACCCACGAGGGCTGGAAGTACCTGGTCAAGGTTGCGGAGGCGGCGCGAACCAAGGCTGAGGAGGCCGAGGAGGCGCGGAAGGCTGCCGAAAAGGCGGCTGAGGATGCTGCACGGCAGGTGGCCGAGCAGGCGGCCCAGGAAGCAGCTGCAACTGCGACAGCCGACGGTAATGCCACGCCCAACGGGGTGGCTGCCGGCAATGGCCGGCCGCCCCGTCCGCCTCGGCAGAAGAAGCAGAACAACAACGGTGCGAATAACAACAGCAAGAAGAAGGAGCCGGTCGTGCCTGAGCGGTTCAAAGTAGTGAAGAAGGAAAAGTGGGTAGAGGGCGCCATGGTCAAGGGCCGCAACGAGCCTTGCACCATTGAGCGCATCGCCACGATCGTGGCCGCAATCAAGGGCGTGCCCGTCGAGGAGGTATGCGAGGCGGCGTGGGCTAACACAGTCAAGGTGTTTGGTACCGCATAGATTTTCGAGGTCTAGAATATAGAGGAGACATGGAAATATAGACCAGCATATCATTTTGGAAAAGAAGCAAGTTGGCATTATAACAGTTCACGCTTATCCAAACGCCGTGTGCGTATCTTCTACGACCATGAACCAGAACTACCAGAACAACCAGAACGCCATAAAATGCAGCCGCCAAGCCGTACAACACAACTTCAGGGCATTCCCGAGCCCTTGTGCCCACGTATGCGACCGTGCCGCACCGCACCCACCGTGACGCCCTCCTCGCCCGTCATCCAGCCCGGCATTTTCTCACCATCAATGACTCCCGCTTCCACCAACTGCCTGATACCAGCAAAGACATGTGGTCCATGGAAGGTGAACGCCACGCGTGGTCGCCACGTTGACTCACTCGAGTCTCCTTCATTATCCCCCTCTTCATCCTGATCCTGATCCTGGTCCTCGCCAGCCGCTCGTCTTGCTTCGTCTCGCTCTTTCGCCTCGTTTTCTTCGGCCTCCTCCTCGTCTCGAGCCAAGACCGCATCAATCTGACTGCGTCTACCGCCCTTGGATCGACGCCGGTCTGCCATTGGCGGTGGTGGTGGTGGGGCATCTGCATCCACATCCACTACTGGCTCGCCGCCTGTCTCGCCTCGCTCTTTCCGGTCGAAACGTCGTCCGCCTGGAAACGGGTCTTGCATGACGATATCGACACGTTCGACGCCGCAGCCGTCGCCCATCTTTGCCGACAGGCCAAACCGGGCCGCCGCAACGAGCTTCCGTCGCTTCGCCTCCTGCCGACTGCGCTGCGTTCCGGGGGAGAGCGGTCGCTTGGTGCGACCCACCACGGTGGCTGTGCTTCTGCTGCTGCTGGCGCTCTTGCCACGGCCTCGCGTCCCCTCCAGCCGCGATGCGACCGATTCTGGCAGCGCCGTGCTCAGGGGCGACTCAATCGTCGTTTTCTCGTCTGCATAGATGCCCCAGCCGCCGCCGGCCGTGTTGGTGCGCCCGGCGCCGCGGCGCTGCAGCAGCTCGGCCAGGTTGCGTGTGGCCAGGTTGGTGGGCTTCAGCGCGTAGCGCTCGCGCGGCTGGGACAACGCTTTGGGGATGGCCTCGACAACGAGGCTGCGCAGGGACGCGGCGCTGCCGCTGACCCCGACGGCCGGGGCACCCGGCGCGCGCTCGCCCGCCGACGACTGGGCGCTGGAGAGGTAGACAAACGGCGACGCGTCGGGAAAGGCCACATAGACGGTGCGGGAGGCCTCGACAGTGGCGGGGCGGCTCTCGCCATGGCCGGTCGATGGCCCTGCTGCGGCCAGCGACGTGTTGTAGGGCGAGTCGAGAATGAAAATGCGGAGCAGCAACAGTGGCAGGTGCCTGTGCCGGTCAAAGTTGTAGTGCACCTTGATGTCGGGCAAGATCTGGGCCTGCAGGTTCCGCAGGAAGGACGACGGGTGGAAGCGCGGCACGACGAGCGAGGCCTTGTCGACGACGGCGGATGCCTCGCTGTTGGTGGTGTCGGTGTTGTTCGTGTTGCCGGTGCCGGCCCCGCCGGCCTCGGCCTTGGCCGTCAACGGCACCACCTGAAAGGCCGTCCACTTTTGGCTCGTCGGGTGGTCGTAGAGGTGCTGCAGGTCAGCCATGGCCAGCTGGTATAAACTGAGGCCATGCCGCCAGTCGCCCTCCAAGATGCGGTCGAGCACCTCGCGTTTCGAGCCCCTGCGCGCCTGTAGGTCGGTGTAGTGGTCTCGGAGTGCCTCGAGCGAGGCTGCCGGCGGGTAAAAGTCCCCATCATCATCAATGTCGCCGTCGTCGTCGTCGTCGTCGCCATCGTCTCCATTGGGATTCCGGTTTCGCAAATAGGGTGCCGTCAAGCTTTGGTTGCCTTCGTCGAGCCAGTCCAGTGCCAGCGACAGCAGCGCCGGCCGCGAAAGGCGGCCCAGCACACGCGTCACAGTAGCGTTGTCCGCGGCAATGCGCAGGGATGACGGCAGCCTGGACGTGATCGGAACGGAGATCGGAGCCATGGCGGTGTGTGTGGGCAGTGGCTGTCAAACAGACGGTGATGCCCTGCGTTTACGCGGCAGGTGCTCACCGCGCTGACGGATGCGGCTGGGCGCGGCTCCATGGCGAGTTGACGCGTCTTGACGGAAGTGGCAGAAAACAGTATTAAAGTGGGGCGCGGGGCTTGTGCCAGGAGTGCCTTCAAAGTGCCATTGCCTCTTTGGGTAAAAAGCGGTGAGCGTCATTCTGTCTCCACTTTTTCTGCTTGACCCGAACCAGACACATTGTGCTCAACGGAAGGTGCGTCTCACCTGGGTACGACGTATAGCCGCTTTTCTGTCGCATGGCGGTACACCGTCAGACCGTATTCCGTGCCAAAACCAATTGAAACAGCGACCACAGAAGATTGGGAAACATGCCTCGTGCCCCATTAACCAAAATCGCTCCCCAGCGCCAAGAACCACGTGGAGTTGGTTGCCTTCCCATCTGATAACCAGGATCTGATAATCGTACGTGGAGACTCTGTCAAGGAACATAAAAGCGGGACCCATAATTCCTTTCGTTTGGTGCCAGCTCGGAAGTCCGAGCCTCTGGCAAATGCAGTTGAGTTTGGAGTCATTCTACTTGACACCAATGGCAACTGTCATTCTTACCTCCGAACGAAGTTTCCGTTGATCTTGATAATCTGATAACGTCTCCTCACGGCCTCCTTCCGTGTTCAGTCGATGGGTGAAATAGGCGGGCAGGAGCCAATGGCCATCGGTGTTGCACTCTTCTCCTTCCTTCGTCAATCAGCCGCTTGATCCCCTTCCCTCCTTCCTTGTGCTGTTGACGACGCCAACCAGGCAGAAACGGAAATTGTTATCCCAACAAGGAAAGTTCGTATGCAAGATCGGCTCAACGTCGGGACGGAGTTACGCCGTCTCACGAGTCCACGGGGAAGGAACATGGTAATGGCAACAAGGTGTCACGATAACTCCGCCATAGTCGTGGCTTTCATCCCTTGATGTTGACTGCGACTGGACCTCCTATCAAAGACGACTTCCGCGTCACTATCGAGTGTCGTCATCGCTCTATGATCGTTGTCACTGACAGCAACCCAGAAACGAGGCTTTGTCGCCGGGCTGGAACGGAGGTCCAAACAGCTTATGCCGAGGTACTTGTTTTTAAGAATGTATAGCATTCGTTAACCATCATTGATATTTTATAATAAGCTTCTAGCAAATACCGACCTCTGATGTTTCGTATTCGATGTTTGTATCCAGCCACTCTCTGAGATGTACGCTGGCTTTTGGATGTTTAATGTAGACGGTACACGACGAGTCATATATATGTATATGTCATATAAAAGGCTAATCCCATCAAGCCAATTTGCTACCGGCGTATTCGTGTCTTATTATGAATAGACTCCAACCCCCCAAAATAGAGCCAACGAAGCGAGACATACTATTCATTCTTTTCGCCCGTCATGGACTGCCAGGCCGCTTGTGCCCAATTGAAGGGATTACATATCTTACGAAGCATATTTACGGTGCTGCGCGTTTCACTGGGTCCCGTTGGCTGTAGTTCTCTGCAAGTTGAAGCCTTGGCGTTTCTTGCTTACTTTTTCTCGTTTCTCGAAAGCAAAACAAAATAAAAAAACTTCACTTCGACTCATCCCACGTACACCACTTTGACATCACAGCTTGAAGCCCTGGACACACTAAATGCCCTGAAAGACAAGCGCCAGCCTAACAAATAGGCCCTGAAAAACTCACGAGCGTTGTATTGGGTGGAGCTTTTGTGGGTCATGATCGGCGTTACGAGCTTATTCCGAAGGGGGCCGGTAATGGTAGGCATTTTTACGTAAGCCTTTTTGAAGAACACCTGCCGGGAACGGAGTAGGAAGTTGCTGGTGTGCGCGCATATCCTTGTGGCTGGCTAGGCGCTAGGCTTGCCCAACAGCGCACGGAGTGCCCCGTAGGGGAAGGCGCCGCTCGTGCGCCGCTCGTTGCACCTGCCCCATTGACACTACATGTCTGGCCGATGCAGAACAGGGTTTTTGTGTGGTCATTTCCGTTGCCACAATTGCCGGTTCATGATATTTTTTCTTTTTGTTTTCTGTCAATTTGCGGCGAACCTCGATTTTTTTGGTTTCTCCTCGACAATTCTGGTTTTCTCATTTTGTGTCCCCCCCTTCATTGCATCATCATATCTACCACGCCGCCTTTGACCTCAGCGTCAATCTCGTCATCTCAACATGGTCCATTGAATTGAACCCCCAATCTACGCAGATTCACACAACGATAACCGCTCCTCTAGCACCCTCACCTGGCACACAGACAGTGCAACGCTTAGCGGGGGTGCTTCTGCGGCAATAGCAGATACACGAGAGCACGCGCAGGTCGAACAGGTAGACAGTCCGGGGGGCTACACAATCCACGCTGTGCGACCTCAGCCAGCAAACCGCTGCAGCCCTTGGACGGCGAGTCGGGCTACATCACGCCTCAACTATTTCCTTTAGCACGCCCGCCGGCCGCTTCTTACCACCTCCTTCACCGCAGCCACCCACGTCGCCTCGTCGTTTACAGACATGCCACAAGCTGCTGGCGGGAAGAGACGGGGCTCCGAGCCGCCGAGCAGCCGCGGCTCGTCGCCGGACAGCGACCGCTCGCATGCCGACGACCACGATCGCGACCGCAGCGAGAGCCATCCCGGCGACGAACGGGGTGACAACCCACCGCGAAAGCGCCAGCGGGTGCGTCTGTCGTGCCTCGAATGTCGACGCCGCAAGCTCTCCTGCGACCGCGGCTTCCCCTGCGAACGCTGCATCAAGTCCGGTACGCCCGAGCGATGCACCTACGAGACCCGCCCCGGCCTTGCACCACCCGCCAAGAACGGCCTGTCGCAAGGCGCCCTCGCCAACTTTGAATCACGCATCTCTGCGTTGGCCGGCGGTTTGGGAGGCGGCCCCGGCGGGCATGGCGGCAGCGGTGGCATTAACAGCATAGGAGGCGGCGGAGTCGGCGGCAGCTACATGTCGGACACCGGTATTGTCCCTCCCTACCGCCGTGACTCGCACCGCTCAGGCTCCGGCCCGTCGTCGCTCGTAGATGGCGAGCGCATGCGCCGCCTTGAGCTCGAGGTTGCCCAGCTGAAGCAGCTGCTCGCATCTGCCGCCGGCGCCGCCAACAACGGCAACAACAAGCTGCTCCTGGCACCTTCGGACGGGAGTGCTACGTTGCACGACGACGACTCGCCGCAGGACAAGGAGGGCGGCCGGGGCGCGCCTTCGCCGCCCACAAACTTTGTTGAGACCATTTATGGCTCCGGCGGTGCGGCCGCCATGCGGGTCGGCGACGAGCTGCGCTTCTTCCGCGGCAAGGAGTTCAAGACGCGCTACTTTGGCCCGCACAACGCGTGCATGGCGTTTAGCGAGCTGACGGGCCTGTGCCCCTTCATGAAGGAGACCGCCGAGGAGTGGCTGCGCCCGCTGCACGTCCACCACCACCACGGCAAGGACCGCCTGAAGCGCAAGCAAGACCGCGAGGCGCGCTTCTTGAAGCCCGACCCCGAGCTCGAAGCCCTGCTGCCGGAGCGCACGGAAATGGACGTGCTCGTCAATATTTATTTGGACCAGTTCGAGCAGGTCCACCGCATCGTGCACATCCCCAGTTTCAAGCGCGACTACGCTCTGTTCTGGGAGCCCGGCCACGCGCGCACACCCGCCTTTACGGCGCTGCTGCTGTCCGTGATGTCCATCTCGAGCTGTCTGCGCGGCAACCCGACCGGCAAGTTTGTCGGCATGGTCTCGCAGTCGCACCACATGGCCGAGAAGTGGATCAACACCTGCGACGCCTGGAACCAGCGCCAGAGCCAGAAGCACCGCAAGCTCGTCCACTACCAGATCGCCTGCCTCCTCTACCTGGCGAAGCGCGTCAACACCGTGAAGAAGAAGCGATTCTGGAAGTCGTCTGGCGCCCTCACACAAGACGCGGTGTCCGTCGGCCTGCACCGCGAGCCCAGCCACATCCACGACTCCGTGTCCGTCTACAACCAAGAGATGCGCCGCCGCATCTGGGCCACCATCCAGGAGTTTGACATGCAGGCGGCCTTTGACCACGGCCTGCCCACGCTGCTGAGCGCCTTGCGCTTCGACGTCCACCCGCCACGCAACCTCGCCGACGAGGACTTTGACGAAGACACCACCGAGCTGCCCCAGTCGCGCCCCACCGACGAGTACACCTTTTCGTCCTACCAGCACCTGAGCCGCCAGAGCCTGCCGCTGCGTCTGCAGCTGAGCCGCGTGCTGACGGGACCGCCCGACGACTTGGACTACGACCAGGTCATCCGCTACACCAACGACATTACCCAGGAAATCGACGCGCTGCCGTCGTGGGATGTGCGTGCGATCGCGGCGGCCAGCGAGAATGAGGCGAACGACGGCAATGGAAAGGGAAATGGCAACGGCAGCGGCCACGGCAACGGAAGCACGGCCAAGCTGACGCCCCTGCTGGCCTACACCCTGCTGCATATCCAGCTGCGCCAGTACATCATTCCGCTGCACCAGCCCTACCTTAAGCTGCGCAAGACCAACTCCAAGTACCAGTACTCGGAAATCATCTACTACAATGCGGCGCGCGACATGGTCCTGTTGCACGACAAGCTCGCCGAACAGGGCGTGCGCACGCTCAACTTTTTGCGCGAAGACGCCCTGACCCTGTCCATCAACCTGTGCAGTGTCACCATGCTGCAGTCGCGCGGCTCCACCAACATGATCATGGTCAACTCGCAGCACACCAAGAAGCTGCTCGAAAAGTGCCTGGCGATGAAGGAAGACCGCGTCCTGCGCTGTGGCAACAACGAGCCCTGGGGCTATTCGATCATGTGTGCCGCCACCGGTTTGCTGGAGGCGCATCTGGGTGACAAGACGCCCGAAGCCGCCAAGGCCTCGTCGGCCGAGCGCTTTGTGAACCTGCACTACAAGCTGCTGGCGCGGCAAGAACAGCCGCAGACGACGAATAGAGACGGTGTGCAAGGCCAGCAGGGCCAGCAAGGCCAGCAGGACCAGCAAGGCCAGCAGGACGCCAAGGATCCGCAGGAGGACCAGACCCCGCGGCAGGCTCTTCTTCAACCGCAGCAGCAGCCGCAGCAGCCTGCCCAAGCCGAGCAACAACAACAACTCTCGCAACAGCCATCATTGCCATCACCACAGCAGCAGCGGAAAATGCCGCCGCCCCATATCCAGCAAGCACAGGCCATGCGGCAACAGCAAATGACTCCAGCAGCAGCAGCAGCAGCAGCAGCAATCGACACCACCACCGCCGCACTCCAACAGCGCCAATGGTGTGTCGGATCTCGCAAAGGTACGTCGAGCGCCCCCAACGTCGCCGCCGCCACCATTCACTTTCTCTGGAGACCAGCTTGCTAACACCCACCAGCAAATGACGCCCTTCCTCGCAATGACCCAGGCCTCCGCCACCCCCGGCGTCATCGATGCTGCGATGCCGGCGCCGCCGGCCGCCTGGTGGATGACCAACTTTGCCAACATGTCGAGCACCGCCAACCCCAACGCCGATCCCACCGCCCTCCAGGCCGCCCAGCAGGTCGTCAACCCAGACTTCAACTATGAACTGCTCGGCCTCAACCTCGGCGACCTCTGGGCCGATTACTCCTGGGAGGACATTTAAATTCGACGGGTTGCCGGTTTCGTTTCCTGTCTCAATAGTTATGCCATTTGTGTCCTGCGTCGCTTCTCTCTACAACATTTACGATACCATGTTTGGAGTATGACCTTGTCGGCGCATCTTGTCTTGTCGCAACGCTGTTTCTACCTCGTCGGTTCATATCTCATTGTACATACCCGGGCGCTTTCTGTTTATAATTTGACATTCATTCATACATGATGACGTGTTGGCTCGATGACGTGACCTTTTGGCTTTCGTCGCTGTTTCCTTGATCGAGGCATAGTGACCTGCGTGTGCGTTTCGTATTTTGTGCTACATTGGGAAGGAACGACCCAGCACAGCAGGCCAACCTCTCGTCTGGTTGGTGATCCGCCATGTCAGGGCAGGTGTGACTGTGTAAATCGGGAAGGAACGAGGCCGCCCTTGCCCTCTCGTACCTTCCAATCTTTCATTTCCACTGCTCGCCGCAAGTGGTTACCAAAAGCTGCGCACAGCCTCGCTTCCTTCCTTTCCCATATCGCGATGCACCTTCCACCTCTGTTGCGCCCTCAACCACGTCCCATCGCCTTTGTTGTCTTGCCATGTTCGTCCATCACCCATCATGGGCTGCTGTCTCTGTTTACCCTCTTCGTCGCCTCACCTCCCACTCGCACAGCATCTTCCCTGATCAAACACTGCTTCTGTGCTTCGGTAGGACACGATCTTTTCTCGTCTCCCTCACCCACCGTCCTTTTTTTCCCTCCTAGTATCTTGAAAGCAAAACTGCTTTTTTTCTTCCATCATTCTGACCTTTTTATCACAGCGTCCTCTTCTCTTCTCCGGCGACCACGCGCCCTTCTCACAATGGGCCTCTGTTTCTGCAACCGGCACTCCTTGGGCCTCTCGGCCGATGCCGAGCAGCGCCATCCGCTGCCGCTGTCTCTGTCCTCCCTGCCGGCTGCGCCGCGGCCCGCCAAGCTGGCCCGGCCGGTCCTTTCTGAGATAACCTTTCCTGTCCCACCGAGCACCCCTCCACCACCTCGTACGTCGTCCCGTCTGCATGCTGCGCTCTCGCCGCGTCGGGGGACCGGCCGCTGCCCCATCCCCAAGATTCCAGACTTTGAAGGCCTCGCCGACAGCGAAACCGACAGCGATGACGAGCTTTTGAGCCACGCACGGATGAGGGCCGCTGGTTTGGGTGCCACGCCCGTCCCCAGCACGCCGGTCAAGTTGGGCTCTGGAGGTGCTTCTGGCGGCGTTGGTGGCTCAGACGGCGCAGGTATGAGCCCGCTCACTAGCCTCATCAGCCGCATTGGCATCATTGGACGGACCTCGCCCGCCCGGGCTGCCAACCAGGGCCGCACGCCCGAGTCTTCGTGCAGCACCGACGATCTCGTCGCGGCCGCCCGCCGTGCTGAAGTCCGCCGCCTGACTCAGAAAATGATCCAAGAAGAGCTCCAAAACGAGCAGCAGCAGCAGCAGCAGTTCTTGTATCTCCAACAACAGCGTCAACAGCGTCAACAGTACCAAAAGTTCCAGCAACAGTACTATCACCAAGCACAGCCGCACCAGCCGCGCACCTACAAGAGATCCTCCATGTCCACCATCAAAGAAGACCCAGCGGACATCTCAAGTCTCGATTTAGCCCATCCTCGCAATACTGTGGCAGTCATGGACGGCAGTGGTTACCGGACGTCTCTCGAGTTCGTATTCACGCGGAGCCGCGACGACCTGTCCGTCCCGCCCGCACTGTCCAACAAAGGCAAAGTGTCGGACACGTACCTCCTCCCGAAGCCGCCCTTGCTGCCGCCCTCCGTCTTATCCAAGCACTTTGCATCGCAGGCCGGCAAAGCTGGTCTGCCGGAGGGACCCGGCGAATGTATTCAAGTTCATGGTGGCGGTAGTCTGGGCAGAGAATTCGGTGACTTCATATCAGCCTCCTTTGCGACTGATCCTTCGGCAAGACGCCCTCTTCCTGAAGGGGCCTTGTCTTTTGTACCGACCTCGACGCAAGACACAGTGGCCGCTGGAGTAACGACTGGAACAACTGGGAAGACTGTGGCCTCCAGCACTCATGTGGCCGAACCAGGTCAGAAGAGCCTCCGCGTCAAGCACGTTGCATCAAATGGTGGTCCGGCCCAAAAGAATAGCAAGGACAAGATAAAGGGCCAACAAGATGACGCCGACATTTCTGAAACAGCACAGGCCGTGTCGGACTCTCTCAGCTCTATGGACGAGGACGGCAGTATACACGAAGCTCGTAAGGCCCGCATCGTCGTGTCCGGCCGAGCTCGCAATACTTCCAATCATATCGGTAGCACGGACGACACCGTCGAAAAGGCCGAAGCGGACACCTTCACCGCCACGCATAAAGATTCCCCTCTTCTGACTGCCGTGGCCAGATTCAGGAAGAGCAGACGCAAGACCTCTGAGTCGTCGTATGTCAGTACTCTGGATCTGCCTCCGCCGCTCGTCAACGACTTGTCCAACTCAAACAACTCGGCTCCCGCTCAAGCGGAAACAATTGCCTCCAATGACGGTAGTGAGGCTGACACGCAGAGCCTTCCTCGTCGTAATGGATTTAAACGGCTTCCGTTGCTCTCCCTGGATCGTATGTTTTACGTCGACTGCTTCTGTCCTTATCCCTTTTCCCTTCCCCGTCCCAGAACATATGTGATCAAAGCCCTCTAACTAGTATTCTCAGAGGGTACAATGCTAACTACGAACAGGTTTCACCTTCGGGCTCAGGAAATCTTCCAATTCAGCCCAGCAAGCTTCGGAGCTTTCATGCGTTGAGCAAATCCCGCAATCGAATTCGGTTGCGTCCGTCGACAAGACGGTCGCTGCCTCTGTTGCCTCGTCTGGTGCCCAGTTTGACAGTCAGCGCAAGGAGAACACCAACCATGACGATAAAGACTCCATCTCCACAAAGTCACAATACCATTCAATGTCGGGTGCCTCTCTCAAAAATGGGGTCAAGGAAAAGCCTGCTTCTCAGAGCGATCCAGTGTCCATGATGAATAGATCGTCCCGAGCCTCCGCCCATACGACTTCAACCGACATTGATAGAATGGCAGAGGAGTGGCACAGACAACTGCAAAATCTCGACCATAACAGTCCTCTTCACAATGGAGCCACTGCAACCACGCAGAGAAGAAGCATGTCAGACACCTATCCATTGAGCCACCAAGAGTCAGGCTTCCGGGATCTACCGCCGCCGGCTTCTATCATGGGCCCTTGGAGTGACAACCAAGCTCACAACACCGGTGGAAAACCAGGCATCCGCCGCCAAGCGTCCTCGATTCATGCGCAACAGTTGTCTGACTCGTGGTGGACAGAGGCGAGCTGGAAAGAGCGGCCCGAGAACAATAAAGCAAATGATCCAGTGAAGACAACGGGACAAGGTGTCGTTCTTCCACCCTCCAAAGAAGATTCTGTCACTTTGCCTCGAGAGGCCAGCCAGGCTACTGAGGTGGATAAGGACGTCCAACCGCCGGAGCCTCAGCCATCCTACTCCAGAGTTTTCTCAAGTGGGATCGAGAAAGCCATCCTCGCCGGTATCAAGAAAGTCATGTACCGAAAGCAAATGTCAACGCCATCTCTCACCACCCTCACACCTGCCGCCGCCGTTTCAAGCCGATCCCTCGGCCCAGAACGCGCTATCACAACTACTCATTCCAAGGCATCCAGCTTAAAACTTGAGAGGAGTACGCCCGAGTCTCGGGCCATGGCTTCTACCAGAACGTCAGAGAAGATTGCTACTTCAGCTGCATCTGAGACGCCAGGCCGCAAGGACGAAGTTGTGATACAAGACATTGATAGTATATTTGGTGTTTTGGTGGACATGGAAAGCAACCAGCGAACGACGCCCACAACCCCCATGAAACCTAAACAGGTAAATAATGCAGATGGTTGCGCTGCGCTACCAGAAAGCGACATCGCATCCCCGGAAACAGTGCCCTCCACACCCATTGCCAACGCATATGCAGAGATGCGAGCATATATTTCTGCCGTTCTCCCGAGCACGCCCGCCCCCAAATTCAAAGAACTGGAGCTGCACAACAGCCCCTGCTCGTCGCACCAAGAGTACCAAGAGTACCAGGAGTACCAAGAGCACCAAGAGACTGCGTCCCATCAAAGCAGCGATGCCGTTCATGTTGTGGCACAGGCAAACACTCAAGTCACAACTCACAAGTCAGCGGACTCCATGTCCGTCAAGAGTGATTCGGCTCCGGTCAAAAAAGTAGCCGAGTTCGATACCGCATCGGCCAAGTACATGACGTGGAGCGGGCATACTAAGCCGAAGACACCGTTAATGACGAGCGCGGTTCAACCCGGTGACGACCTTAAAACCATCTTCCAGGGCAGGAAGGAGAACAGAAAGTCATTCCAAGGCCGCACTCTGCAACCAGCTTTGAAGCAGAACTAGTAACTATGCACACGAACACGTACATTCTACGACACACGACAACAAATGCAAGCTGTTCCGGTTTCATCTACTCCACAAACCAGTGCTCCACTCTCGCGGGGAGACTCCTCTTTTCCTTTCATGTTATCATCGTGACGCTCTAGTTTTATGCCACGTTTTACGTTCGGTCTGGTTGGCCGGTTTTCTGAGCACAGTTTTGAGGTCCTGTGTTGTTTTGGGGTTCTAATAGTATTTACTACCATGCCTCCATTGTATTTGGCTACAGATTTTTCTCGAGGATGGAGACGGACTGGGTTGGCAAGAAGGTACAAGGATATCAACTTGCCAGTCACATATACGGCTAGAAGTCGGTTGAACTGCCATAGGATGCGTAAAATTAAGGTAGAATTAATGCAATAGTAAGTCGTCTCTATATGTCCGAAATTTCCTTTGTAATGTAAATACACAGTGCGTCCATCTTTTCTTGCGCTGATAAATATTCAAAATTCAATGTCTCATATCTTCCTCAGCCCAGCACCATTCGAGGAGACATGTCTACGGTAGCTATTATTTTGCCTCATATTTCGTCCTCATTGTCCTTACTGCTTCAATTCGCTTTGTGTTTGTTTGGATTTGGTTGATAAGCCGGGGCTCGAGCCTCGGTCGGTTGTTTACACGGTCTCCTTTTGCAGCTCGGGATTCATCGGCTGTTGTAGAGGTTGCCCCAGGCGCTGTTGTGCATGTAGAAGACGCCGCTGTCGCTGCTCCTCGACTTTCCGCTGCATCTCAACCTTGCGCTCGCGCAGGGCAATGCAAAACTTGCTGCCAGCCCGAATCTGCTCACCCTTCCAGATGAACACAAAAGGGATCGCACACATCAACAGGCTCAGGCCGCCCAAAAGACTGCAAGCACCGGGAATCGTTAGGCGCTTGAACATGGCCGTGGCTGCCAGGGGCAATACGGTGGCAAGAAGGGACCGGCAGCACGAGGCGGCAGCATTGGCAGATGCCGCAAAGATTTCGTAGGCGTCTATAGCGAGTTAGCAAGGTCCTCACTGTAGAGAGAGGGAAACGGAGCATACCGGTCAAGTAATTCAAAAGAGCAATAAAGATCACTAAACGGAAGAAGAAATACGTCGAGCGTTAGTTTATTATCAACAAATTGAAAAACGTCCGGGTGGGGGAGTACGCACACATGAATCCTAGGCCAAAGGGGATACCAGCCAGCATGGGTGCCACGAAGGAGATGTCGGCCTTGGCTGTCCAGCCTAGCCAGAACAAGCTGATCACAAAGACGGGTCCACCAAGACAGGCCAGCGGCAGGCGGCGGTACTCCTCTTGCTTGGTCCAGGCCTCGCCACGGTCAATGGCGTTCAGCAAGTAGTTGTCGTAGGCGTAAAAGATGGGTATTGACAGGAGGGTGCCGGCGCCAATGGCCAGAAAGATGAGGCCCTCGACGCCGGGACTGAACTTGTAGATATCCACAAAGACGAGGGGAAAGGCGGTAAAGGTCATGTAGAAGATGGCATACAAAAGGGCGAGGTAGATGCAGACACATGACACAATGAGCTCCGAGATGATCATGCGCAGAGGGCGCGTCAGGACGATCGTGGCCAGTTCGCGCAGATTTTTCTTCTCAAGCTCGTGCGGCGCCACAATGTTGGCCTTGGGGTCCTCTTTGCGCATGCGCACGGCACGGCGCTTTAGCAGAATCGGCCCATACGTCTCGGGCAACAGTGCGAGCGGGACCAGGGACACGCCGGCGTAGATGAGTGCAATCCAAAAGGTCCAGCGCCAGCCAATGGTGGCCGAGCAGTAGCCGGAAATAATGGGGGCAAACAAGGGGCCGAAGACGGTCATGGCCATGAACATGGACATGGCGCGGCCGCGGGTGCGTGCCGAGCCAAAGACGTCAGCCAGAATGCCCGTGACAACGGCGATGGGGGCGCTGGCAAAGACGCCGGTGAGCAGGCGGAACACGAGGAAGCCGGCCCAGTTGGGTGCCAGGGCGCAGGCCATGGTCCAGATCATGAAGAAAACAAACGTCACAAGAACCAATGTGCGGCGGCCGTACTGCTCACTGAGCGGCGCCCACACGAGAGGCCCCAGAATGTAGCCGACCAGGTACGTGGACACGGGCAGCACCATTTGCGTGGACGACGTCACGCCCCACTCCTTCGCCATGTAGGGCACAGCGTTGCTTGGAAGCGCACTGCCCATTGTGCTGTTGATGATGGATGTCATGGTTGTGATGAGGATGGTGATTTTCCGCGTCTTGGACCAGTTGTAGGGGTTCTCCGGGTCATTCTCCTCCCAGGCCACGATCAGGGTCTCGTTCTCGCTGTTGGACAGGCTCGGTGTCCGCTGGTTACCTCCGGGCCTTTTGGTGCCGTCGTCGTCCAGCTGTATTCGTTCGCCGACGGTGTTGTCGGCTGCCTCCTCGCGGTACCGGTCCTTTGCGTCTTTCTCGTCAACGGCGCGGATGATCTTGTGAAGACCATCTGCTTGTGTTAGCTACAACACATGCACCGAGGCAACCAATTCTCTCTGCATACGTACGATGTTGCTGTATCTGATCAATTTCATTCTGGTCTATTGCTTGCTTGTTCTGGTGAACTGCGGCTGTCGATGGTGATTTGTCGTCCATTTTTGTTGAATCATGCCCGTCCCCACGGCAGTGGGTAGTATGCCGTAGCGACCGAGGTCTGGTCGATCCTTGTCCCGGGGCAGTAGAATTCAAAGAATGGCTCCCACTTATAACAATGGAAATGGAAATGAAGCGAAATAGAGGCGGAAATGGCGGTGCCGAGATAGCAAGCAAAAGCCCAACAAACGGAGTCCGATTTCCGACAGACCTTGTGATTGTAACTTTCGAGCAAGCAGACCGTGTTGTGTTATTCGTCGAGCGCCAGTGCGACTATTCGACACAGGTTGGAAGTTTGAAAATGGAACAAGAGAAAAAGATCGTCAGATTGAAGGAGGTCAAGGACCGGAAGGTCCAAGGGGAGAAGGTGACCGTGGAAAGAACAGAAACCATGGCAAGCGGAAAGAGCGAACCCGAGAGAGAAACGAAGCAACGGAGATATGGGGGAGTAGGCAATTGAGAAGGGAGGAACAACCGAGATAAAAACAGAAGGAAAGAAACCGAGTCAAATTTCAAAAAGGAAGGAGCGAAGCAATGGGGAAACAACAAGGCGGCGAACGATACGCAGCGACTAACACGCATGATTATGGAGCATACTACCCTATTTCCACAGTCTGTCGGCCATTTTCTTATATGATTTTCATTGGGTCCAACCTCCGTAGTCTTGTTCAATGCTTGAGCACGGTGTACTGCACTGGTCCCAGGACCAGAAGAAAAAAGGCGTGCCCATCCATTCCCCCTCTTGCCCCGGAAATCGCAAATAACACGCCCAGTGCCTTGTCCGGCCCGGGAAGGAGCTCCACTTTTTGTGAAGGAACGCAGCTGCGTCCACTCTTTTGGAGGTTTCCTTACTCCGTAGACAGAGCACAATAGGCAAAGCCCCAGTCCCGGTTCTTCGTTTCGAGACTTGCTTCCGATTCCTCTATGAAGGCAGTTGCGACAGGAGACCTTTTTGTTGCGTCCGATAAGGCGCGAGCAAGCGCGGGTAGTACAACGGGGACACCGCAAAGTCCACACATCAACCGGGCCTCGAACAAGACGAGATGTACGGTGTAGCAGCGGCGTGCATTGGTCACATCAGCATCGGAGTCGAAAATAAAGCGTGCAAGGTGGTCAGCGCGCCTCTCAAAATGGGCTCCGAAAATCGCCCGGTGCGGGCCAGAACCACTCTCTGCTCGTCACATTAGGCGCGGCATAAGTGCGGCACTCTTGCGCGTGGCAAGTTGGAGACGTATTCATTGCAGACAGCTGTGGATGATCGACATGCGAAGAGGATGACTGGCGAAGAGCGTGCTTGGACACTGTGAGCTGTTGTACGACGCACGGAGTAATACAAAGAGACCTATCGACTGTCTTCAGAGCACTACCGAGGGACAATAATTGGAGAAGGAGGAGGTGGGCATCGGCCGTCTTAGCCGGAGGGAAGGAGCGATAGCGAACAGAATGCAGCACCCAAAGCGGCAATGGCTGCCGGGGGACATGCGGGCCGCAAGAACAAGGGCGGCAAGAAAACGGGGAATCAGTGCAACAGTTGTCGCACTTTGTAGGATGTATATTATCTGATCACTTGTTGGAAAAGAAGAAAAAATCAAGGTCAAAAAGACAAAAAAAGACAAAATATGGCAAGCTTCACGACGTACAGCCGTACGCCCAATACATGGAAGACCTTTGGCCGGGGTCGGGGCTAGAGTGGAGCACCAACAAAATGGACCCGAATCCAAAGTGGCCACAGGGACGGAAGGCGGGGCGGATAGAGAATAACAGAAGGAGCCAAGCACCAAAGCCGCCCGACTGGCTTGATCTCGCGGCTTCGCGTTTAAGAGTCAGTAGTGGGAGGGCTGGACAAACAGACAAGATGGCCGTATGGCCGCAAGGTTGCAAAGAGCGGTCGCAATGGCGGGCTCAGTCTCGGCCGGCTGGGCCCATTTTTATTAACACTTTCACCATACGAATCATTGACGTAGAAGACAATAGCAGCTTCACAAAAGCTGACGTTTTCGGCCACCAAAGCACAGGCGTCACAGACTGCAGTTGGTTCTTGTTGAGTAGGCTTATACGTTTTGAATCGAGACCATTTCGCCCAAAGAAAAAGACGTGACAAACGAAGCCCTGAAACTGGAAACCCAAAGCCATTTTTTTCCACAAACAGACGGCGGCGACGCAAAGGACCATGTTTCAGAACAAGGTCGTGGCTGTGGGTATAAAGGCTGCATTGAGATGCTAAGATGGAAACGCTGCAGGAAACAGGCCCAAAATATACAAGAGAAAAGGGGCGGCACAGGTAAACACGCAATCGAGGAGGACAGGCGGCAAGCAACGGCCCGCCGCTTCTCACGTCTCCAGGTTGATGCTCCGGCCAAACCGTGCATACAGGTCCACCTTGAGCCGTGTCATATCCTCCCGCACCGAGCTCAATGACTCCTCCAGCGACCCAATCTCCTCCTCCATCTTGGTCGAGGACGCCTCGACCATCTTGAGCGCTTTTGCCGCCTTGACCTGGAAAAAGGCGTCGCCGACCTTGTACGGCACCTTGTCGTCCTCGTCGACCAGCTCCAACTCTGTGCTGATGTCGTCCAGCTCCTCCTTGGCCTTGTTCTTCGCCTTGAGCTGCTCCTCCAGGTTCAGCTCGCGCTGGTGCAGCCGGCTGAACTTGTTGATCTTTTCCTGGTCCTCGCGGCGGACCTCGGCCTCGGGGCCCGCGGCCTCCTCGTCTTCTCTGCTGAGCTGGGCATGGTTAGCGGTGAAAAATAAGAAGAACCAAGTAGAGGGTCTATGGGGACGTGGGGACAGTGCAAGAGACTGACCATTCGCCGTTGCATGGTGGACGTCCGTCGAGATGCTATTGCTATAGGTATGCTGTAGGTGATGCAAACTGTTGTCACGTGTGTTGCGTACTGCGAAAGGTGTGCAAGAAATCCCGTATGGCGCGTATCGTTTTTGCCACAGCTCCGTGTATGATGAATAGGTGTGCAGCAGCGTCGTCGTTGTTGCGTAATGAGGTGTCGTCGCGGTCGTACAAAATGGTGTCGTCGTGAATGGCAAGCTACAGGATCAGACCAAAGAAAAGGAGAAGCTTTTCACTCTTGGTGCTTGACTGCCCCACCAAATGGCGCTGCAAGTTATGTCGGAGCGGGGCGCTGTAGGTAAGATACTATTATCGACCAGATAGGCAAGCACCTATATGCCCTAAACCAAGCAAGAAGAGACATCCGTATTTCAAACACAATCATACCACGTCGGTTGACACATACTATATTCAAAGAACATACAACTCAATGCCAATTTATAGTCTGACGTTGCCCATCCTATTGTGACATTCCCCATTGGGCGGTACGATTGTCCTTGCACAGCAACCCCTCTCCAAACTGTGGCTGCCAGCTTCCGCCACAAGTTGCCGCCTTTCCCCACCCTGTTACCTAATGTTCAGTGCAGGCACGACGCGCCAAACGCGACTCCGCTTTTGAGTACAGGCGTCTCGTCAACATCTAACCCCAAACTGCGTGACGACAAACGAACGACAACAACACACGACGACCTCAATCACGAATGCGAACAACGTCATAAACCGCCCAAAATTCTGTCAAAAGACCCCTACTCCACACTAGCAGCAATGGCACCCGGACAGAAATTGTACCCGCGCGCGACGGTCAAGAAGATCGTCAAGGCGCACGCAAACACGAACCTGAGCCGCAACGCCGATGTCCTTGTGAGTGATGCAATGCCGGACCAGCAAGCGAACTACAGCTAACAACTCTTATTTTCTCACTGTTCAGATCTTCCTCGACTATCTCCTCTTCATGCAGACGTATGTGATGGCAGCCTTCCCCGGTCCACACACCCACACCGGCACAGCCCAGCTAACAAGACAGCCTTGTCAAGGAAGCATCGATTGAGTCGAAGCGCGGCGGTGAGCGCGGCATCACGGCACGCAGCGTCAAGAGAGTGACGGCGGTGAGTCGCTTTTTGCACCACATGGTCCAACATGTCGACGTGATATACTAATTTTCTAAAGGACACTGTCCTCAAGTTCAAGGGTTGAAGCGCGCAGGAGACCATGGCATGAACGACCGCGACCACGAACACGACCACAACAGCAACGGCACATATTGGCATCAATACCCGTACCGTTGGAAACAAACGAGAATGCCTAGCAAAATCGGTATCAAATGACACCCGCCAGCAACGGCCCGCCTCTACTATAAATCGACCGTGCTCGACAATGCATGGCGCTTCGAACATTTGTCGAGGCGCTGCACACAAACCCTGGAAGAACCTTTCGAGAAGCAGCAGCATCGGAAATGCGCAGTTCACATTTCTGGGGAACGGTCCAAATACCGTCGGCGCGCAACGTCGAGACGAACCGTACTATTGGCGGACAAACCAAGATGGGGGTCAGTGTCGAATGGATTCTACAGCTGCGCACAGATCAGCTAGGCCTCCTCATAGGACGGAGGCCAAATGGGAAACTGTCCGGACCATTTCGCTATCAAATTGTTTTGCACAAGAAGTTGCCAATGTCACGACAGCTGGACCCAGGTAAGGAGACCAAGCCAACAGAACGGAAACAAACAAACAAAAATAAAAAAGAAGTTAATACCAAGATGGATTTTCGCGCTCAATGTTGTGCAACCGTTGTTGTGTCGTGTCGTGTCGGTCGTTTCCTCAGGCCGTGATATCCGGTACAGCACCAGAGCATGTCTCGTGCCCAGTTGCTCCTTCGCTCGTTTGCTGGTTGTTGCTCTCCAATCTTCGTTTGTGGGTACAGGGGGCAGTAGAACCAAACAGAGCCCATAGAATCCTCCCAGGCACCACTAGCAGTGCTAGCTCCAGGGCCTGGCCCAGCTGCGCGCTGATTGGCCCAACAAGGAAGACAGTCGCGTGGGGTAGAAGGCGACGGAAGGCAAGAGCGCACCAACGCACCTCTTCAACCTGCCTGTAGAAGGCAGAGAGACAAGCGGTTGGTTCCTGCCTTGTTGCGCTGGGGGATATCAAAACACCAAACGGTTGTTTTTTTTTCGAGTCACTCCCACGGTACAAAACAAGAAGGCACTGGTTTTCTTAGCTTACCAAACAAAACCACATCTCGAAATAATCAAAATTGAAGCATCTTCACTGACCTCTCCGTCGTCCACCACTCCAAAAGCATTCACAGCCTCACCCGCATTGCCAATTCCTGTTTTTTTTTTTCCTTCTCCGTCCCGTACCCGACTTGTTTGGAGCAGCTATTTTAGGCCACGCACCCAATTCTTAGCTGTCCTTGCGTCCTTTTCCCTCTTTTTCCTCTCTTCCCCTTCTTTCCTCTTCCTTTTGTCCTTCTCGTTTCTCCAATCTTTGCTTACATCGTGCAGTCATCCTCTGCTCGGCATTCTCCTCTTCATCTCCTCCATCGACAACTTCTTGCGTCCAACGCTCTCGTCGTCGCTCCTCCAACCCTCGATCTTCGATCCCAAACCCAATTCCCAAAACGAGGCTTGCCTGACCAAGCAACCAGCATAAACCCAATCAAACACAATGGCTGCGTCTGCTGTGCAAAATCCTGCGGCTCCTACCGACGCCAAGTCGGCCAAGAAGAAGAAGGCCAAGGCCAGCCGCACCGAGTCGCCTGCTCCGACCGCTTCGTCTGAGAAGGCTGTGTCGGTGGCACCCAATGACGCCAACGGCGATGACTCGGGCGAGCCTGCTTACCTGCGGGAGCTTTCCAAGTGCGTTCCAGTACCCCCATCGAAGAAAACGGCTGCATGTCGGCACCAGATGGCCCGAGGCGGCATTGGAATGCTAACATGTCTTTTTTAATTTCAGGAACATCCGCAACATCAACAAGAAGCTCGTAAGCTGGCCTCAAGACTCCCCACAGACCTTCTAATCTGAACACATTTGCTCACCCAAACTCCTCTCCCTGCTGTAGACGAACGCGTCCAAAACCGATGGCCTGATTGCCGAGCACAAGGACAAGACCCTTGACCAGCTCGTCGCCCAGAAGATTATCAACGCCGACCAAAAAGCCCAGATCCTCAAAAAGCCCTCCCTTCAGGCCCAGCTTGCCCAGCTCGAGGAGCAGTACAGCCAGTTCAAGAAGCTCGACTCGGAGTACCGCCAGCGCCTGGTCTCCGACAAAACCGAAGTCACCAAGGCCCTGACGGACAAGTTTGAGAAGGAGAAGGCCGATGCTGTGCGCGAGGCGTCTGCGGCAGCCGCTGCTGCCGCCGAAAAGAACCTGCACGACAGCCTCTTGACCGTGTCCCAGTTCCTCCGCCTCGCTGCTGCTCGCCGCGCCGACGACCAGAACCAGCAACAGGACGAGAACCTTGCCCTCGAGGGTGTGCTCTTGCAAGTGTACTCGGGCGACGAGAACGGCGTGGCCACCATGCTGAAGCTCGTCCAGGGCACCGACGAGACGACCAAGGGTGTTTCCAACGAGTCTCTGCAGACGACATTCGCCCAGGTAAAGGCTGCTGCCGCCGCTAACGCCGGCGCTCTGGTCGTGTCTGAGGCCTCGGAAGAGCCTGCGTCCGAGGCTCCCGCCACCCAGGTCGGCTCCGACCCGACCCTCGTACACGCCAGCCTGACCGAGATTGAGGCCGGCACCGATACCCCGCTCGTGGAGGCTGCGGGTCTCACCAACGGCCACACTGACGAGTCGGCCGATGCCGCCCCGGCCGCTCTTGCGAACGCCAATGTCGGCGACGATGCCGCGAACTCGGTGGCTGAGAACCAGTGGGATGCCACGAACGGCACCAAGGACCTGACCATGTCACAGGAATGGGTGCAGGTGCCCCGCGACCTTGCCGAGACGGAGACCGGCATCGCTGCTACCACTGCCGCGGCCGGTAACACGCAGTCTTGGGCCGATGAGCAGCCCGACGTGGCCCCGCCGGCCGCTGCTCCGGCTACGCCGAACGCGGCTGCGGACGACGGTTTCCACCAGGTGCAGCGCCACAACCGTGGCCGTAGTGAGCGCGACGGTTTCCGTGGCGGTCGCGGTGGCGGATTCCGCGGTCGCGGCCGTGGCGGTGACGGTCGTGGCCGTGGCCGTGGTGGCCGTGGTCGTGGTGGCGGACCTGGCGGTGAGAATGGCGGCAACGGCGGCAACTTCCATCGCGGCCCACGTCGCAACGAGGAGTCATAGGGTGGCTCTTGCGGCGGCTTTAATGGCTCCGGCATGAGCGAACCGCACTCTCAATGGTAGTCCCTGTTTCGATGGTTTGGCATCGAACAAACTCCAAGCGCTTTTCCTCTTTTCTCGAAGATTTTTATATCTCAGTCTTCGACTATACCCGTTTCTAATTCTACCTATGCGGTGGGAACAACCAACAAAAACCACAAAGACAAAAACTACGACCGGACCCAGGCACACGCTGTCTTGCGAGCCTCGGTCCCATACTTTTCATAATCTTGTTCATCTAGCATTTGCTCGGCTTTCTCTGCGTTTTCTTTCCACTTAAACTTCTTTGATGTCCTTTGTACCATTGTCACCTTTTCGTCTTTTCACATTTACGCCTTTCCGCCTTTTTCTTTGCATTGCATTTTGAACGAGCGCATATCCACATCGGAAAGGGAAACAAAAACGGAGGCCATCCACAATATTCACATATATTTGACGGCGGGAAGAAGAATGGAACGATGGGGACGGGAAGGGAAAAGGAACAGGAGGGTAGGAGCTGTGAGCGGGGAAGTTTGACGATTGAATGTCCTGTCAGTTTTATCTTGCATGGCGACATCTGGAAAACAGAAAAGAAAGAAAGGGAAAAAAAAGGTTGGCATGTGTGGGGTGTGTCATTTTATTATCATCACCACCATGATGCGGAGGAAGAACATAGAACGGAAAAGGAAAAGAATGGGAAAGACAGTTGTCAGTGGACGGGGGGTGAATGCTTGAATAGGTCATCAAGGACCAGGACGGTAAACAAAAATACAAATAAAAATCTAAACAGCTTTCCAAAAGGGGGCTGGCCATATGAAAATAAGACTGGACCAAATGCCTCGTGAAGTCACTGCGAAGGTGCTGTTTTTGGTAATGATGTAACTGATAAAGTGCACGGATTATGATGGGCGTATAAGGAGGCCTGTGCTTGTACCTCAAAACATTTGTGGGACAACTCCATCCCGTGGTTTATTTGTTGATATTTCTAGATATATAAATACATGAAAATCAGGAAAATACAATGAAAGAACGTGGGCCAGTCTTGTTTAATATATATATATATCCATTTATATATATACGATCAAATGGTATCTTCTCACTCTTTTTACAAAACCAACTCGATGAACCTTTGTTTTATTAAAGAAGACTTTTTCTATAATTTGTATCAAAGTGGCACTTAATTTTCTCCGTAGTTGAGCGCAAGATTGCACACAGATCCAAACTGAGATTACCTCGTTGGATTGCCTCTTGGCCTTGAGTGACAGCCCTTTCGGTTTGACATGTGTACGACAGAGTACCATTAGACTTTTTAGCGTTAAGCGTAACATAAACATCGACCGATGACGTGTAGATGATTGTGAAGACAAAAGAAACCCATGAATATAAATGTTATAAGGGCCGCGGTCCTGTCTTTCTCGTTGGTGAGGACCGCTGCCAACAATGAAACTTGTCGAGATACCGTCAACAATTTCCACGACAACTCCTCCGTTTCGGTCTCGTCCCTGAATTCAAAATGGCCAAACAGGGCCGTCTTCAAAATGCCTATTTCCTGATATTACTGCCACTACTTTCCCTGTCGTTATTGTGTATTTCAGTATCAACAGCCAGCAAATTCGACAAAACATCTACACGAGAAATCAAAGTTGCTCAGGAGACCACGTCACCTTGGCCGTCATGTGCGGTAGGAACGAGCATAAGTGTGAATATACAGGAACGAGACGCATCGCACACAAGCTAAATACTACCCAGACTATCTGTTTCGAGAAAATGGCCAAGGAGCTCGCACCGCCGATGACGGCTTTTCCACAACTTTGTGCCGCTAGCCAAAACTCACCACTTGTCCAGGATATCGGGGGTTGCCTTCATTCGCACTGTTCCCCGGCGGATGCTCTAGGTGAGGCTCCCGTTTTTCTGTTGACTTCTTGCTCATACTGACACCGTCCGCGCGTTCCTTCAGACACCTTTCGTACGCTGTCTCGGCTTTGCCAATGGCCAACGCGGTCCCGCAAGGCCAGACTTGTGGCTCTATTTGCCATCCAGGTGCCGGCAGTTATCTGTCTTGCCCTGCGGCTGTTCGGGCGTATAAAGCAGGCAGCTAGGCTTGCCATCGATGACTATCTGGTGGCGCTGCTGACGGTGAGTGGGATGAGTCGCTTCTGCGGTTCTAGAGCTCTATGAAAGCTTGCTGGTGTTGACGCTGTCGCAGCCTGTCTTTATCGCGTTTCTGATCGTCGGCCAGTACGGCAAGTAGCACTGTCCTCTCTGCAACAAATGGGCTCGGGAAGCTCCAACTGTTTCTAACGTTGGTCTACTTTGCAGCCGCCGTGGTTGGATTTGGCGTCGACATATGGACTTTGCTGAACGACACGATTGTCCAAGCTATGCGAGTGAGTCTTGCACGTTCTGCTCCGGGGTGTTGACGTACGCATTTCGCGTTAAATAAAGCTGACCACATGACGACCTCTGGCAGGCATTCTACGTTGACGAGGTGCTGTACCTCGCCATTTTGACCTTGATTAAGCTGTCCCTCCTCTTCCTGTATCTCCGTGTGTTTGCACCCCAAGCACCACCGACCACACGTGAAGCCCGCCGCTACAGAGGCCACTACCGCACGTTCCGCATCGCCGTATTTGTGCTCGCCGGGCTTGTGCTCCTGCCAAACATCATCTTCCTCGTTCTCGACGCCTTCCAGTGCCGCCCCGTCAGCACTGTCTGGGCACGGTGGACGTCATCGTCTGTCCCCCAGCACCAGCAGCCGTACGCCTGCCTCAACGTGCGTCTCTTGGCATACGTGGCGGCAGCGTTTGGCATCGCCCAGGACGCGGCCATCCTGCTGGTGCCCTGGCCGCTGTTGTGGCTGCTCCGACAAAGCCTGGTCCGGCCGTCGCCGGCGTCATCCGTCAGGACGTCTCCTGCCGCGACGGCTGTCATGGTCACGGCTTTTGCCATGTTTGGTCTCGGCGTCTTCGTGCTCGTCACCAGCTGCGTCCGTCTGCACTTTCTCGTGCACTTTGCCACGACCTCGCTCAACCCAACCTGGGACAACACCGACAGCCTCATCTGGTCCGGGCTCGAGGTGTCTGTGTCGGTGATTGTGATGAGCCTGCCCACAGTGCGGGCAATGGGCCAGCAGGCCTGGCGACACTGGTGGCCAAAGGGAAAAGCAAAGTCGAGGGCGAGGCAGAACGGGAGATAGCCGTTGGTAAAGCGTGACAGTCGGCGGCAGTTGGCGGTAGTCCTGCTGCGGCACAACCATTGTGCCGTATTTTGGGGTCATGGTTGGTGTCAGGGTTCGAGAGACGGGCGACAGTAAGAGCTAGAAAACGAAGATCACCAGTGCTGCAATTATTTTGCGTCGACGGGCGTTCCGGGACATCTCGGGCAGGGGAACTGCGGTGCACCTTGAGAAACGAGGTTTGGAGGAGGAAAACGAGTAATACAAGAAGAAATTCTAATGGGTACACGACCACAAGAGCAAGCAGGATCAACGCACGAGTCCTGGATGGAGTTGAACGACCCGGTTCCTGCCGCACAGGGCCTCGATACTGCAGTCGGTGCAGTCGGCGGTGGTCTTACGAGGTGAAAAGAAGCGTCGTCATCATGAGTCCGGAATACCGCAGAACAAATGTTTTGAAACCAAAGTCTGGCTAGAAAGTGGCGAGGAAGGAACGAACGGCATGGTGGGCTGTTCTTGCCGTTTACAGCGCACTGAACGAGAACTGTGGTATTGCAGCGCTCTTGTGCGCTCTATTTTGCCCGAATCCAATTCGATTGTTATTTGCATATCGACGCTGTTTTTCTGTGGAATTTCGTATGACAGATCTTTGCGTTTCAACAAATTACCCATCCAATGCATGGCATTGTCACACCGTTTTTCTGATGTGATGTCAGCTTTGCTCTTCCATCGCACCTACCCTATTACAGTTTTGCTCCAAGTCAGATCGTCCCCACCACAAATGCTTACCACGTCAGAAATGGGAAAGCACCATGCCAAACCGACCCGCACCTCCCCAAAGCAGGTGCTATCCGTACCTCTGCCGAAAGAAGCAGGTCCACAACAGCTCCTTCCGATCTTAATACAAACACATCGTCTCTGCTCGAACCGCATCCTCTTTCGCGTCTCATCCCTCCTACGTCTCGACTCTCTCAACATCACCAAGTCAATTATTGGATGCAATTGAGTCTGCCCTAGACCCCTTCACAGCCCTTCTACATTCTTCTGTTTCTTCTCATTTTCTTCTTTCCTCTACCTACCCGCCACCATGGCGTCCATCGACGACAAGTCCAAGCAGGCGACAATGGGCCACATGAACCGCGAGCACACCCTTGACCTCGGCCTCTATCTGCGCTTCGTCAATGGCCTCTCTGCCAAGCAGCTCGCTGCCGAGGGTGCGCCCGAGCTCGTCGACATTGACTTGAATGCCCTCTACATTCGCACGGCCACCACCGGCACCGTCCACGTCGTACCCTTCACCCCACCCATGACGTCCTGGGACGACCGCCGCCAGCGCATCATTGCCCTCGCCATGGATGCCCGCAAGGCCTTTGGCGTGCCTCTCCCAGAGCATAACGCGCGGCCTTCTTCTGCATCTACTGCGTCTTCATCGTCTTCGTCACCAACTGGCTCCCCTGCCACCACCACGAAAGAGCCCGTCACTTTCAAACTACCAGGTGCTTTCCAATTCCTCGTCATGTTTGGCGTCGTCCTCTACTTTGTCCTCTGCGGCCTTATGTATACTGGCCGCGACGAAACCGCCTCCAACACCTGGGCCCGCGTCCTCGGCGCGGTCGGCGTCACCGAGCGCAACTTCATCTTTGGCGGCGCCGACGGCTTCCGCCTCATGCTGCACCTGACCGCCGTACCCATCCTGGCCATTCATATCGCCGAGGCCTGGTGGATGACCCGCACACGTCTCGCGCCCCGCGGCATGACAGTGCTGTCGCAAGACGGATTGCTTTGGACGGGCCTGACCTTTCTGATCGGCTTCGGCTCGTTCTTGCACTTCGACCGCCTGGCGCGGCAGCAGGCGCGTGCGGCCGCAGGTGTCTCGAAGCAGATGTAAGGCTCTCCAGGAGCGATCCAATTGCATCTGAAGGTGACACAAAACGTGGATAGAGCTCCGTTTTGGCCATAACCGTCCTACAAACGTGCTGCTTCCTGTCTCCGTGGTGTCTGATTGTCTCAAAAGTGCCATCTTCCCTCCGTCTGTGTATCTCTCCATCTCCACGTCACATCTCATGCTTAACGTTATCCTCTGTACAAATATGAATTTCTTGTTTTAGTTTATTGTTGAATGCAAGTGCTATACCAAGACCACTACCGACGCTACTCCTCGTTTCAATCCACCCAGCGTTTCACTTTTACAGATACATCAGCCAACCGACTGCCGCCAGCAGCAGTGCCGACTCCAGCAGCGACGACTGGCGGCCCAGCAAGGCCGCTGCACCACCGTTCTTCTTGGGTGCATTGGATTCCGTCGAGTTGCTCGCCACCGTAGCATTCACGGCCGCCGCAATGTTGGACGCCGTGGCCGCGTCGAGGCGTGCCGCGCACGGGTTCGGCGTGGGCCGCAGCGCCGGCAGCACTGCGCATGCCGGTGCCGTTCGGTTTTCGGTGCCATTCTTACCGTGCTTGCCGTGCTTGCCATGCCCGCTGCTGCTTTCAATCGTCGACACGTTCTGCACGGCTGTCACGTTGTACGTCACAGCCTCGTTGCTGCTAGCCGAGCACAAATCGTTGCTGGCGGCGTCCGCGGCAGCCGCGGCCACGAGGTCGGGCGGGGCTGCGTTTGTGTTGGTCGAGAACGAAACGATGCCGGCATCGGTGGCGCTGTCGTTGTCGCCGCCGTCGTCCTCCGCGCCGGGGGTCGACGAGCAGTTGCTCGCCAGAATGGCCCAGCTGATGGTCCAGTCCGTCGCCGTCGTACCCTGCAGCTTGTCCGTGGCAAAGTGCCAATAGAACGTTGACGGCGCATTGGGCGCAAACGCCGCGGCGTGGCTGGCGTTGCTGGCGTCCAGTGCAGCCAGGTGCTCGAGGTGGAAAAGCCCGCGCGACGAGTTGTGCAACAACACCTCGATGAACAGGTCGAGGGACGCTGCGGCCGGCGCATTTTGCACGGCAAACACGACAGGGAACTTGGGTCCGGGATGGAACGTGGAGCCGTTGCGGGGAAAGACAAGGTCAATTTCGACGGTGGCCGGGAATGTAGGGTCAGCGGCAGCCGGCGTGGCGAACTGCAGCATGGCGACACCCGCCATGACCGACGAGACCAGCATGCTTATGGAGCGCATTGGGAAAGCTTAGTAGCGGAGGGAGCGATGTTGTAAGAAGAAGACGGTGAGCTTTGGTATTCGCTGAACGCCAAGGTTTGGCGTGTGGACAAAATATTGGGAGAGGGCACACGAGAGAGGATGGACGTAAGAAACGAATGACAAGATATAGGCAAGAGAAGGAAGGAGGCAGCCTTGCCTATGAAGGCCAATCTCGCCGGCAACAATACCTCCTACATCTCCCCGAGAAGGATCAAAACAGGCAGTAAGGCGGGAGTTGCGGCAGCGGCCAGGCTAAAACGGGAAGACAAAACAATGCCCAATGATTGTTTCTCAGATGTTTATTCAGTACGGGGCAGACTTGGTGCCGCCGCGATGCGATGGCTGCGGCGTAGCGAGGCAGACGCAGCAGAATGGGACAAGCGAAGTGCAGACGAAAAGCATAGGAAGGCGTCAAGGGACAAAAGCAGGGTACCCCATCACAGAGATCTCGTCTCCTGCACAGCACTTGGTTGGTTGGCAGTGCAGTTTGCAGTCCATGCCGGTCTAGACCTGGACTCTTCTGGCCAACATTATGCTTTCCCGAGGATCAGGATCGCCATATATACGGTGCTGCGCAAGAGGATTGCAGGGCCAAAGGCGCTTGCAGAGTTTCGGCTGATGTGGCTCAATGATAGTTTCCTTTGATGTTTATTGTGCAAGACGGAAGACGCAGCGTTATGACTTTCTTTCTGTTGTATTTTCCCTTTGTCGTTTGATTCTCTCACTCTTCGATCCTATTTAATCTATTCGGAGGTTTCATAGGGCGCAGACTTCACTGCATTCCGTGTGGATCGAGACCACTCATGCGCCACGGCCATGGCCGATCAAGGCGGCACAGCCAAGAGGGTAAAAGAGACAAGCAAACCGGACCGGATAAATGGCGGAGGCCACAATAGAAGGCGCATCCGATCGCCATATCCGAAAGTCAGGTATCGATTTACACTCGTTGGTCCTGGAAAATGTGCATGTTTCAGCTCGGTAAACCAGGCACGACGAACGCGGAGCTCTATGCAATCGTCGGCTCCGGTCGTGGCCGTCGGGGGTGACTTCTAAAGGAGAGGCTCGCGACGTGTCTGAGACTCATTTTCCTTTCAATGAATCGGGCTATTTATCTACCTTGGCTATACTTGGCCATGCAACTATCGGGGCGATCGGCAGTTAATTTGTGCACTGCCTCTCTTGGAAGGTGCAACCCGAACATCAGCGGTAACGTTGGACCCTGACTTTTTTATATTGATCACTTTTGAATTGCATATGACACTGAATGGTTTGAATCATGGGATCGCGGACAGAAATAGAGGCAGTGACCGTGAGTACGCCGCGCTCATGTTGACACGTATGGAAGTCTCGCGATCTTTGTAGGACGTGTCGATATTCGAGTGAGATTAATCATCGTCATCAAAATATCTTGTTACTGTTGATGTTGATGTTTCTTCTATTTCTACTTACACTACTTCTTCATCTCTTTTACCCTTGTTTTCGCCGAGTCACCCTGGATGACTTCGTCTTACGACATACACATAAATACTCCGTATTCCGAATGACAAGTGGAGATGCACCGACGTCGTTTGCTGTACTCCGGAGCGCGGTCGCACTTGCCCCTTTATTTGAAGAATCAACGGCCGCTAATTAGCTGCACAATATTGGCTGCCCTGCTGCCTTTCCTGTTTCGGACTAATCCCGTCAAACCAGGTACGACTGCCCCTCAACATGCCAGGATTGGAGGGGCGCCAAATCCAAAATGGTTGGCTTTAACGCTCTTGCGCAACCTTTCAGTGGAGCCTCTAGTTAGACAGAGCTGTTTGTTGACACACGACAAAAGTGGATCGTATTTTAGCGGTGCCGGTCGTGCCTTCCACCACCGCATCCAAAATTGCCCGCAGGTATCGTGAGATGCCTCATTTCCAGCCTCAAATTAATTCCAAAAAGAAAAAAACTCACGAGACCCGGAGTACGTCGTACTGTTCTATTGCACCTGGAAAAGTCACAGAACCCAATAGGAAATGTTCGAAACTGTCATATGGACTCCAGTCCTTCCCATCCCTTCTCAATTCTTGTGCGTCTTTTGGCCTCCTTATTTCGCTCCCATTCTGACGACACACGATCCTTTTGTTCCACGGGACCGTCGCATCGTACTCGACCCGGTAGACATGGAGCGCGCGTGTGCCACTGCGCCAATTCACCAATGTATGCCAATGTACGCCAATCCAGGCGATGTCGGGCACTCGTGTCCAGGAATGACGGCACACGCCACCTCGTGTAGTTCGTTTGGTCGGCCTTTGTGCTCGGCGCCGTGCTGCCGCGTGTCTCTCTTTCACCCTTTGTGTCATGTGTCTCTGCGCCTTTGTCGCAGCCCTTACCGTGCCGGTTGGCGTTGTTCGAATGTCTTGAGCTCCTTGTGCTTCACGTACGTCGTACTCTTTGTGCTTTTGCCGTTTGTCGTACCAAACCTGTCAGTAGTGCATCGCACATCGCGCCCCCCGTCTCTGTTCGTATCCGTGTGTGCATCCCATACACACCACGTCGTATTCCCCTGGCTAGTTCTCCCTCTTTTCGAGTCCAAAACCACGGCCATTCCACAGGCCGATTTGCTTGATGACATGCCCCCGGCGCGCCATTTGCCTCTCTTGCCTCGTGCTTTCTTGGTCCGTTCGCTCCTTCCCTTTCGTTCACCCTAGCCGCTTTTGATACAATGCCGCCCCGTAGTTTCCACACTTGAGCCTCGACGCCCGCGAAATTGTCCTTGACTTGGTTGCTTTTGGTCTCTTGCGGCCCTTGGCTCGGTCGCTCTTTCCACAACAGCGTCTCGTATTGGCAAATGGGCAAGCACACCCAGTATGCCCCTTCCCTCCCCTGAGACACACGTCGATGAGCCGCCGGCCACACTTTCCGTCTAGGTGTTACTGGGCATTGTTGCTCCTTCCTTGACGTCGCTTCCGTGCCTTCTCCTTTGTGCGCATTTCGTGCGCCTTCCTTCTTTGTGGACCTGCGTGTGTACCTGTTTCGTCTTCTCATCCTTCCCCCTTCTCTTTGTCTTCGCTCTCACTTTCTTTCGCTTCTCCCTCCCCCTTAATCATCACCCTTCTCTCACCAACTCTCTATCTTGAAACTGCCAGGACACCTTTGTGTTGTGTTCCTTGCAGCTTTCGTCCACTCATTCGGATTTTTGTTTCGTTTCAGTTCTTGTCCTTCCTTCCCGTCCCTTTTCCTTCCACAGGCCACCGTCGCCCATCTCGACACTTTTTCTCGCCAAAGTCACGTCTCGCACAAAACAGAAAAGAAAGTCGTCCACGTCATTTGCGTCTTCTTTGTCCGCTCCTTTTCGAATCTTTTCATACGCCTATATCAGTTTGATCTGGTGTACTTTTTTGTCTTGCTTTCTCTGCCGCTCCTTCGTCGCCGACCCTCACTTTCTCTTCGCTTTTTCAGGACTTCACTTCCGCCTGTTTCTCCCAACATTGTCACCATGCGTGTAAGTTTGTGCTTTTTGTAGCATTTGTTTTCAATTGCAGCCCTGTTTTATTCTCTAGGCGACCTCATTTTCCCCTTGCGCCGCCACAGTTTTGCGTATTGGGACTTGCCGAGATACTGGTTCCTTGTACCTGAGCCGGTCCTAGAGCGATCTCCAAAACAAAAACACCAAGTACCAAAACGGCAAAAGGCAGATCACCCGAACATAAGGCACGGCGATCTATGCGCCATACAACCACCATCTTTGTCGCCCGTGTTGCTTCAAAACCAAGATGCTAACGCTCCCAGCTGTCTGCAGCGCTCGTCGCCCTCGGCGCGCAGATTGCCGCTGCCGTCGTGTCCCTGGAGGTCAAAGGCAGCGATTTTGTCAACCCCAAGACCGGCGACCGCTTCCAGGTCGTCGGTGTTGCCTACCAACCCGGTGGCTCGGCCGGCTACAACCCGGAGCTCGGCTTCGACCCCCTCAGCGACGGTGCCAAGTGCCTGCGCGATGCCGCCCTGATGCAGATTCTGGGCATCAACGCTGTCCGCGTCTACAACCTGGATCCTAACCTGAACCATGATGAGTGCGCAAGCATCTTCAACGCCGCCGGCATGTACATGATGATCGACGTCAACTCGCCTCTTGTCGGCGAGTCGCTCGACGGCACCGCTCCCTGGACCACCTACACCTCAAGCTACCTGAACCGCACCTTTGCCATTGTCGAGGCCTTCCGCCACTACCCCAACACTCTGCTGTTCTTTGCCGGCAACGAGGTCATTGCTGATGCCTCCAGCGGTGCTATCGACCCTGCTTACGTCCGCGCAGTGACTCGTGACATCAAGAACTACATTGCCAAGCACTCCGACCGCGTCATCCCCGTCGGCTATTCGGCCGCCGATGTTCGCACCGTCCTTTTCGACTCCTGGAACTTCTTCCAGTGCGCGGAGAGCGGCGACGCCAACGACAACAGCCGTGCCGACATCTTTGCCCTCAACAGCTACAGCTGGTGCGGTGACAGCAGCTTCACCACCAGTGGCTACAACACGCTGGTTGCCGGCTTCACTGGCACCTCCATCCCCGTCTTCTTCTCTGAGTACGGTTGCAATGTTCCCGCGCCCCGTGTCTTCACCGAGGTCGGCACCATCTACAGCGACCAGATGATGCCCGTCTTCAGCGGCGGCGTCGTCTACGAGTACGCCAACGAGGTCTCAGACTTTGGTCTTGTCAACATCAGCTCCGACGGTTCCGTCGACATTCTCCAAGATTTCTACACCCTGCAGAACCAGTACGCCAAGGTCGACTTCAAGACCATCCAGTCCACCAAGGCTAACAGCTCCGTCACCACCCCGCCCGTCTGCAGCTCTAAGCTCATCACGACAAAGGGCTTCGAGACCAACTTCACCCTGCCTGCCCTGCCCCCTGGTGCCGCCGCCATCCTGTCCAAGGGTGTGAAGCCCACCCCCAGCGGTGAGATCATCTCCATCTCCAACTGGAACGTCAACTACACCGTCCGCAACCCCAACGGCACCATCCTCAGCAACCTCGCCGTCAAGCCCCTGTCCAGTGACGCTGTCAACTTGCCCGGCAGTAACACTGCCTCGAGCACTGGCACCGCCACTTCTTCCTCGGGCAGCTCTTCCTCCTCTCCCAAGAAGAACGCTGGCCTTGGCCGCGCCGATCTGATCTGGGCCCCCGCCGTCGCACTTGGTGCCGCTCTGCCCGCTCTCTTTACTCTGCTCTTGTAACGGTGGTCAAAATGATTCGACGACTGGGTTGTGTTGGTAGTGGGTTGAAGTTAAGCTAGCGTGAAAAGCAAGCTTCTTTTCAGTGCCTTAGCTGTTTTGTGCCTGTTTTCCATTTTCAAACCCTGATCCTCCTTGCGTTGTGTTGCCTTTCGAGAAGTAACCTCACATTTTTCGCATCTGCGACGAACGATCGCTTTTCTCTCATGTGTTTCCATGGTGCTCTTTTTATTTCCCTGCTTCCTTTTCTCGTCATTTTCATGTTATCCACTTTCTCTTGTGTCATTACTTTATATCCCCATTTCATTTTCTCTCTAGATCGTTGTCACAATCTGTGATGGATGTAATAGAAAAATCTTGCAACCCTTTAAGTCTCGTCTTTGCCCCGAAATGCCTGGGTGTCTTAACTAGAGAAAAATATTGGCCACACGTTTGTCGATGTAGCTACTTGTAATATACGACACAGCTGTAGAACTGGGTAGGTTTCCCAGGGTGGGTAAAAATAAAAAAGATGCAGGCTTTGTTTTTTTTCTTCTTTTTAGTTTTATTTGGTGCTATATTTATGAAAAAAAAATTAAAAAAAAATCCAACTCTTCAATTCAAACATAACAACGTGAGTTTGTACGGAGTTCTTCTAACTATATTCAAAACTGGACAGAAGGTGAAATAAAGATACGAAAAGCTGCAGATCACGATAAAAAGAAAAAAAGGCCAAGTACTGTTTACGACTAGCCCTCATATCCCTCGTCATAACACAACTCCAAGTAAATTCAACAATGCAAAATCGCATATGCCTCTTTTTGAATTGAAAACTCAGAACATAATACAAAGATTAAAGTCTAGTAGAAACAGCGCCCACAGGACACATATCATGTCTCTTTTCTCTTCTCATATTTTGCCATGGACCAAAAAAGTCAACTGCTCATACTCGGCACACACCCACCCGCACACACACGCACTATTCGTCAAACACATAGCTGCTCACAGCTTAAGCCTTGAACTCCTCCAGCTTCGACTCCTCCCACCGGCCCGGGATCAGGGCCAGGGGAACAATGCCGGACACGTGCGTCTCGGGGCCGAAGATCTTGGCGTTCAGGCCAAGCTCCTGGGTCGCCGCCTTCATGTTCTTCAGGCCCTCTTGGTAGTTGGGACCAGCACGGCGCACCCAGATCTGCACGTTGTGCTCGTTCAGGGCCTTGGCGTACTCGCGCAGCGCCTTGATCACACCCTTGAATGTCGACGCCACGTTGGTGAAGTTGGCAATGCCACCACCGATGAACAGCACCTTGCCCTTGGGGCTCAATGGTGCGCGCAGCATCAGGTCAAGGACAGTGCGTGCGTAGTGGTACGTCTGCGACTCCGTCGGCGCACCCGAGTACTCGCCGTAGTTGGCCAGCTCATCGGCGAAGCCGGCAGAAGCAATGGCATCGGCGTAGACGACCGAGGCACCACCACCGGCAACCAGCGTCCAGATGCGGCCGTTGGCGTTCAGGACGGTCAGCTTCAGCGAGGCACCCGTCTTGGCGTCCAGCTCAGCAATGTACGCCTCCTCCTTGGTCATCTCACGACCGAACGGCGCGGGGAACTCCATCGGCGGGCCGGCATCGATGTTCACGCCGGAGCCGGAGGGAGCAATGTTGGTCAGGCCAAGGGCAGCCGGCGAACGGGCAATGGCCCATTTCACACCGCACTCGAAATCGGCAGTCTGGTCCAGCTTGGCAGCCAGATCCAGGAAGTGAACAGCGGCAGAGGTAGCATCCTCGTTGGGGATGACCACCAGGGGGTTGATTTCGAGATAGGTGAACTGGCAGTCAACGTAGACAGCATATAAGCGGGTGATGAAGTCCACTAGTACGTTGTGCAGGCCCTTGGGGATGTGCTTGAGGAGGGTCGCGGCAATCTCCTCGTTCGACGGGTATTCAGACAGGTCGACGGGAATTAGCAACTTCTCGGCCTTTGCGTCGACATCACCAACATCAACACCACCCTCGTGGGTGAAAAGGATCCAGTCGCCCTGTTGTGGTAGAAAGTAACGTGTTAGTACTCCATAATTTTGCAATTGGCCAATTGTGTGGATCAGATAGGTAGGAGACAGGGGACGCAGTGGCTAAAAAGACGACTTGTAGCGGTGCAAGGAAGAATCGGTAGGGGCGCAAAAACGGAGACCAAGTAATCTCAGCTTAGCCTCCGCTCGTCCGGACTGCTAAAGTCTTCCCGAAAAATAAGAAAATACACAAAAAAACACTGGTGTCTTCAGCCATATAAGCAGAAGCGCCCGGAAAGCAGCCCGAGACAAAACAAAAACTCTCCAGATTTTTTTTTGTTTTGCTTTCTTTTTTGCCCACTCGGGACATTGCATTTGTATATTGTCTCATAAAGACAATAGAGCGTCGCCATACAAACCAGATTCTGATTTGTCGCTCGCCATTATTCGTTTCTTCTCTTCTTTGGGATTTTGCCAGTCTCCAAAACCGCACGATTGTGGCTAATGCAACCAACATCGCCAGCTTTGGCTTCTTGTCTACCAGATGCCCCGTCTCATCTCACCGCAACCGATCGAACCTCAGTGGATGAAGACGGGGCATGACTTTCTGGTAGACGTGTTTTGTGGCGCGGAAAAAAGCAACGCATGAAACGCTGAAAACACAGCAACCGCAAGAAAGGGGCAATGAGAGGGGATTGAGCACTCACATCACGGACGGAGTTGATGTTGATGTAGTACTCCTCGTTCTGCTTGTGCGGGACAAACGGCTCAACCAGGAAGTGCCGCAGGACACCCTCGGTGCTCTCGACCTTCTGGACTTTGCCAGCACGCTCAGCGACCCAGGCCTTGGCCTCGGCCCAGGACTTGTTCAGGCACAGCAGACCGCTCTTCCCCCGTCTCTTGATGAGCTGATCGGGCTTTGCGACGAACTTTGCGCCGGCCTGCAGCAGCCACGGGTAGGTGACCTCGGCCTGGTCCAGGACGGACTCGACAGTGGCATCCTCCGGGAAGTGCAGCGATGCCAATCTCGGCGGCGGGTTGTGCGTCGTGGAGGCGGGCAGCGGCGAGGGCTTGATGACCTTGGCGCGCGTCAGGTGGTAGTTGAGGATGGCCTTGCCGTCGGCCTCGAAGATGGACTTGGCAGACATGCTGGGCTATGTTCTGTGTCTGGTCTATTTGCTTCTGGTGCGTTTCCTTTTTTCCTTTGTCTTGTTCGCGTGCTTTGTGCGTTTCTGCGAGGCTTGCAGATACGTTCGACTTGGTTTGTTGTGCCTGTCACAAGTGGACGGCCAGAAGGATCAAAAGGTCAGTTATTGCGCTCATTGTTCGAGTTCCGAGTTCCAGTTGGGCCAGTCTGGCCACACCGGGGGAACTGTGAAGCTGATCTGACAAGATCTTGGGAAGCTCTTTTGCGAGATGCGAACAACTTCATTTTTTGGGGGCGCATTTCCAGCTGTTGCCAGTGCTGCAGCAGCTCGTCTGGAAGGTACAACTCACCTTTGGGCAATTGAGCAGCGTGGATCGCGGGGCGGAGATGAATTGGTTCTCGAATTTGTTCTTGCGCAAAGGGGAGGATAAACTGCAAAGAGATGCAAAGGAGAGAAAATTATTTACGTTCGAAGTCGATCTGAATTGCTCCTGCCGAAAACTATTGGCGTAGCTCCTTTTTGGAACGGAAAGGGGGGCGGTTACTCTTTCCTTGGAGCAGGGCTAGAGTGGAAGAAGGAGGGGGGAGCACAGGCGAAAAGCGGTCGACTTGCCTAGCAACGGTGTGGAAGGCCCATCAGCGTGTGGAAAGGGGAATGGAAGGTACGCATCTCGGCGGAGTAACACGACTGCTCCTTGTGGCTGCGGCTACGAAATACAAGGTACGAATCCAGGAACCACCCAGAACAAAAAAAACGCGGGAAGCTTGGATGGGGCAACAGCGACCTGCGGCACGACAAAGAAAACCTCGCAGAAACAGAAAGAACGGTCGAGATGATAGAAAACTTTTGGGGAAATCCTAAAGTGGCAGGGTTTCGCACTGCAGCTATCGGCGGTGTGCGACAGGAAGTACCTGTACATGGCAAGCGCTATTACCGAGTGCAGCTCTGGAGTTTTCCTCCTTTCCCTCTTGTTTCCCCTGGTCGCAAGGTGTCTTGGGTGACGCCCCAACGCTTGGGATCTCGGGCAGCCGTTGGGGTTATTGGCGCCTTCCCTAGTGGGGCAGGGGTACCTTCCCAGCTTCCATTGGTGGTGGTCAGCGATGGAGTCAGCGATGTAGTCAGCTCTCTGGCATGCGCCACCTCTTCCTGTCACGACCGAGTCTGGTGCGCCCCAATTCCTGCTGCTCCTACGTCGCTCGACGTCGGATTTCAACTGCCATTCTCGCCAGAGTCCTCCCAGGTGACTTCAACCGTGATGCGTGAGAAATGGGATGAGTCTGGATGGAAAGACCGTCGCTCTTGCCTTTCGGAGATCTCTTTGGGGACAACCGAGACAGCTCCAAAAGGGGCAACAGCGAAACACGAGGCAAGAGCGTAGGACTTTTCGACACCTGGCATCAGCGGCTTGCTAGTGCGACCGCCCCTCACCCAACAAATCAAGTCTCCTTTGTTTTCTGGTCGCTCCGGTGGTTTTCTTATTTTTGCTTCGTATGGTCTCCACGGTGCATTTGCTTTTCATTGCTTTTTTCTCAATTGGGTTATGACGGCCTTTTTCCTGCTCTTGACATTGCTTTTCATCCGCAAGTTTATGAGCACAATTCGCTGGATGCCAGAGGCTTGAGAGGACACTTTATCGCATTCCCCACCATCGCTTTCCTAGTTGATTGCCCACCTAAATTTAGTGGAAGTACACTAATATGACGGGCCCTGAAGAGCTTTCGTCCCAATTCAAGACAATTCAAGGCAATACAACTTGACAATATTACCTTCGATTGCGCTGCCCGTCCCGGTTCTATTTTCGGTGCATTTCTCACCATTCTATCAGCCGCGGCCGCCCAGCCTCTTTCTGGGTTGTCATTCTGTTCTATATTTGTCTAGGTTCGCAAAGAGTGGCCTTTGCCTGGATACGATACCCGTAAACAAGCTGTTTGCGTGTTCACTTACACGGCATGGACGGACGTTCTTGCTGTTTTTGCCATGGCAATGTCACGCGCCTCGGTTGACTGTGCACCTTCCTCGTCGATTCTCTCTCCGTTGCTGGGAAGGCGCATATTGCACTCACCGCCGCGTACCAGTACCTGTCGCAACCCCAATTTACTAGCGTGAAGTCCAGGGGTAGTACAACTGGATCGGCTGTCCGTGCCATCGGTGACACTCACTGCGAGAGCCGCCCCAAAAGTCCTACGACTTGTCGAGGCGCTATGAAGGATCCCCAATTGCTTGCGAAATTCGGCCAACTAAGTCTCAGTGACCCCCCAATTCAACAAAAATCTCGGTGGGAACCCCCAACTTCCATGCCTTATGCCATTTTTGCCTCCTGCGATTGAATTGGCGCGCTGCTGCAAAGACAGCACTTTGGCACTTGGGGAATCAGAAGGAGAAACTTCGTGATAAACTGAAGACAGTTGGTTTCCGTGGTTTCCAATTTCGACACGGGTAGCAATGATGGGCAGTCGGCGGCCGTTCACCGATTGTTAGAACAGCGAATGGGTTGCCAGGCAGTTGCGATTAAGGTAGTGGGGGACAGTGAGAGAGTGCGAGGTACCGCTACTTCACTCGCCAGGGGCCAATTGCGACCCACACGGCACCTTCGCTCGCTGGAAGCCCCAATCCCTCCTGCATCACTCACTGCGACACAGGCACATCCGCGCCACCACAAATCCTCGCCGCACCTCCCCCAAGGAGCTTCAGCACAATGCACTACCCGCCAGCCGTTGCTCCCCCGTCGCTCTTTCCCCCCCTGGGCTTGGCCCAATTCGACAAAGGTGCATGAGAGCAAACAGCCCGGCAGGTGTGCGCCCAAAAAAAAGAGAAAAAGTTCTCCGAAGCAGAAAGAGCGACCATCGAGCAGCTCCGTCGCTTCTTTCTCACTTCTTTTACCCGCTTTGCTATCTACATTTTCCTTTTCATCCCCCAAACAATCACATCGCGAACTTTGATCGAACACTGGGTCGACAAGTCCAGACGAACACTTCGAGAGGAACACCGCGAGAACATATCCCTCGGACACCAAGGTACATAGCTCCAATTGAGCAGACACGTCTCTGCTGCCCCCCTCACCCTTTTGCCCCTTTCCTCGCCGTCTTCGCCCAAAGTGATTTCGAGCTTGCAGGACAGAAAAAGGAACCGGCAGCATCGTTTCCTACTCTTGTTGGAAATCGTTTTCTGTTCCCATGCTTGATTTCGACAGAAAGCGGCGTGTACACAAGCTTCCTGTCCCCGAAATTTCTTTGGCTTGGACGCTTCTTTGCCCACCGTTGCTCACACAAGCTCTATTTAGCTTCTTCTCCTTGCGATACAAAGCACCGCAAACTTTCGCACAACCGTCACCATGCCTGCTGCCACTGCGCCCGTTGGCACCAACGGCACCAAGACGCCCGTTGGCCTGTCTGCCAATGACAACATCACTCGGTTTGCGGCGCCCAGCCGGCCGTTGAGCCCGCTCCCCGCCCATGCTCTCTTCAACGAGAAGACCCGCTGCTTTGTCTACGGTCTGCAACCCCGTGCCGTGCAGGGCATGCTGGACTTTGACTTCATCTGCAAGCGCCCAACACCCTCCGTCGCTGGCATTATCTACACCTTTGGTGGCCAGTTCGTCAGCAAGATGTACTGGGGTACCAGCGAGACCCTCCTGCCCGTCTACCAGGAGGTCTCCAAGGCCATGGCCAAGCACCCCGACGTTGACGTCGTGGTCAACTTCGCCTCGTCCCGCAGTGTCTACAGCTCGACTCTTGAGCTGATGGAGAACCCCCAGATCCGCACCATCGCCATCATTGCCGAGGGCGTCCCGGAGCGGAGAGCTCGTGAGATTGCCCACATCGCCAAGAAGAAGGGCATCACCATCATTGGCCCCGCCACCGTCGGTGGCATCAAGCCCGGCTGCTTCAAGATTGGTAACACTGGTGGCATGATGGACAACATTGTCGCCTCCAAGCTGTACCGCAAGGGCTCCGTCGGTTACGTCTCCAAGTCGGGCGGCATGTCCAACGAGCTCAACAACATCATTTCCCAGAACACGGATGGTGTCTACGAGGGTGTGGCCATTGGCGGTGATCGCTATCCTGGCACCACCTTCATTGACCATCTGCTGCGCTACCAGGCCGACCCCGAGTGCAAGATTCTGCTGCTGCTCGGTGAGGTCGGTGGTGTTGAGGAGTACAAGGTCATTGACGCCGTCAAGAAGGGCGTCATCACCAAGCCGATTGTCGCCTGGGCCATCGGCACGTGCGCGAGCATGTTCAAGACCGAGGTGCAGTTCGGCCACGCCGGTGCCTTTGCCAACTCCCAGCTGGAGACGGCTGCCACCAAGAACAAGACGATGCGGGAAGCCGGCTTCTTCGTCCCTGACACGTTCGAGGACATGCCCGCCCTCCTGAAGACCGTGTACGATAAGCTGGTCAAGGCGGGTACCATTAAGCCCAGCGCTGAGCCGATTGTGCCCAAGATCCCCATCGACTACTCGTGGGCCCAGGAGCTGGGTCTCATCCGCAAGCCCGCCGCCTTCATCTCCACGATCTCCGACGACCGTGGCCAGGAGTTGCTGTACGCTGGCATGCCCATTTCGGACGTGTTCAAGGAGGACATTGGCATCGGCGGTGTCATGTCGCTGCTGTGGTTCCGTCGTCGCCTGCCCGACTATGCTTCCAAGTTCCTGGAGATGGTGCTGATGCTGACGGCCGACCACGGTCCGGCTGTGTCGGGTGCCATGAACACCATTATCACCACGCGTGCCGGCAAGGACCTGATCAGCGCGCTGGTGTCGGGTCTGCTGACCATTGGCTCGCGGTTCGGTGGTGCCCTGGACGGCGCCGCTGAGGAGTTCACGCGCGCCTTTGACAAGGGCCTGAGCCCCCGCGAGTTCGTCGACAGCATGCGCAAGGCGAACAAGCTGATTCCCGGTATCGGCCACCGTGTCAAGTCACGGAACAACCCGGATCTGCGTGTCGAGCTGGTGAAGCAGTACGTCACGGAGAAGTTCCCCAACCACAAGCTGCTCGACTACGCGCTGGCTGTCGAGTCGGTGACGACGTCCAAGAAGGACAACCTGATCCTCAACGTCGACGGCTGCGTGGCTGTCTGCTTCGTTGACCTGATGCGCAACTGCGGTGCGTTCAGCGCCGAGGAGGCCGAGGATTACCTGAAGATGGGTGTCCTGAACGGCCTGTTCGTTCTTGGCCGGAGTATCGGTCTGATTGCGCACTACCTCGACCAGAAGAGACTGCGCACCGGCCTGTACCGTCACCCGTGGGACGACATCACCTACCTGCTGCCGCAGCTCAACGCTGGCCCGCCGGGCGCCGAGGGCCGTGTGGAGGTGCAGATGTAAGGGTGAGAAACCGAAGGCGTGTACGTGTCAGTGTCAGGCGTTCTTTTTTTGCTCTACTCCGCCCGCTTCCCTGCGGTGGCTTGGTTTTTTACGTTTTACGTCCTATTCTTTTCTCTTGCCTGTCATTGTTTGTTCTCAAACTGCGCACGCCTATTCTGTAGCTGCGGAAGGGCAAAGAGCACACCACACAAAGAAAACGAAACACGGCCTCATAAGAGAGCAAAAACGATGTAATAGAATTTCCGGTATCTAGGTCGCAGTGCATTTTATGTGGAGGTCAACAAAGTGTTACGAGTAATAATAAGATTTCACCATTGTGTTTCATGCAACGACTTTTACGTGGTGAGAATGGCTGTGAATTTCGGACAGGCCAAAGTACAAATGCGTGTGATATGAGGAGAGTGAGGTTGAACTTGAGTACAACATGTTATGCCATGAAATGAAACCCCCACGTGACCGAAATTATGTTTTGCGCTGAACGAAACTGGGAGCTTTTGCTCCACTCCAGCTCCAGCGTTCGACGCCAGCTTTCAGCCTTTTCGCTGCCGTCCTAGCGAGCTAGCCTTTGATGTTCCTTGACAACCACCCTTTCTTATTCCAACTCCCATTGTCCACAGTCAACTACATTCACTTCATGGGAGATACAGAGACGTCGCGACCTCGGTCGCCCGACCCGGAGCGTCGAAAACGGCCCAGCCGCAGCCAGTCACCAGCCCGCGAGCGCAGCGATCGCTACGACAGGGACAGAAGCGGGCGCAACAACCGCGACCGCTACCGTGACAGCCCCCGTGACGACCACTACCGCGATCGGAACCGGCCTGACCGATACGACCGGCGCGATCGGGACAGAGACCGCGACGAGGTCCGAGGTGCGCCTTCGAGACAGGACGATGGTGACAACGCCGACGTCGACGCAGACTATGGCAAGATCTGGGCAGACGACCGGCCCAAGCCCAAAAAGCGATCCGGTGGCGGGTTCAAAGTGAAGGAGAAGAAACGGGACAATGACGGCGAGGGCGAGGGCGATCGTGGAGTCGACCGTGGATTCGATCGCGGGTTTGACCGGCGGGAGCGCGACCGGTCGCCACGGAGAGACCGGTCGCCACGACGGGATCGGGACGGTCGTGACGGCGAAAAGAGCAAAGACAAGGCCACGTCGACTGTCGGCAAGGACAAAGAAAAGAAGAAGAAAAAGCCGCGGGCACCAGCTCCACCACCAGAGTTTATGATTGTGCACGTCAACGACCGGCTGGGATCCAAGACGGCGATCCCGTGTATGGGCTCGGACCTGATTCGGCAGTTCAAGGTGATGGTGGCAGCGCGGATCGGTCGGGACCCGAGTGAGATCATGCTGCGGCGGCAGGGTGAGCGGCCCTTCAAGGACCACTTGACGCTCGAAGACTATGGTGTCACCAACGGTGTGCAGCTCGACCTGGAGCTGGACACGGGAGACTAAGGGCCAAGGGAGAAGGTCGAAGTAGGACTTTGTTTGGCAACTTGGCGAACACATTGTATTTCGCGTTGTTAAGCATGAGGATACCAAATATACCACTGTGTCAAGACAAACACGAAGTCGTCTAGACTGTCCAGAGCGAAGGCAACCCGTCAAGAAGTCCCGCAAACGACGTAAACCACCACGAGAAGAAACATGTTATCGTGCCCTCTACATCTTACATCGGGGGTCAAAACGTCCGATGAATCGCCGCTATTCTACGACTTTACGCTGCTGCAGCCATGGATCTTCGGGCCGCTGCTTCGGCGTGGGACGATCCTCGGGCGCCATTGCAGCATTCCACCCTCAACCTCCTTGTGTGGGCCCGGGATGTTCTGGGCCGTCTTTATCAGGCGTCTCCGGAATGGTGTCAACTTCGATGGGGAACACGGGTGATATCCTTTGTGCTGTCAGTATGCCGGCTATGCCAGCGACGGCACTCGTGGGCAAAACTGCATGTGAGGCGGAAGTGGATTGCGCCAAAATGGGGTCGCCCCAAATTGGAGCATAAAGAATACCGTGGTGAAAGACGGACGAGAGACTTAGACGACCGCTTTTGAAAAGGAAAGTGCGCCTCCGGTGACGTCTACAGAGGAAGAGGAAGGAAGGAGGAAGGAGGTAACTAGCTCTAGGCTTTTATGCAGCAGAGGTCAATGTAAGGATCGCATCTCAATAACACTGACATAGCCTGCACAAAGGATTCTTGAAACTCATCCTTTCTTAGATCAAGAGCTCGTTTGAAATACGACTTACGGATTACATACGTACAACAAAGATTGATCCACCAGTTGTACAGAAACCAAAAGAGTTAGAAACATGCAGAGGATAGTCACATGACGTATCACGCGACCACGCATCACAAAACTGCGAAGTAGGTCTTGGCGTTAAGAATAGCTCGACGCGCCAGGGTGTCCCCAACTCTTGGGCGCGCCGTCGGCAGCGATTTACGACACTTCCATCCAATTTGCGACGTAATTTACCAATTAGCCATCTGCACCACCCTGGTTTCCAAGATCCCAGATTCCGCCCGTCCACAGCTGTTCCTTGCGACCCGGAAATCTTGTCCTCTCGGCAGAGTGACAGCCTTTTGTTTACGACGACCCGACCCGTCTTCGAGCTCCGTTTTCCCACTCGACCGCTCTTCACCCAGACTACACGCCCGACTCCCACGATGGACTCCGTTCGGTCTCTTATCCAGCCGGTGACGCACAATCTGCCGGCGCCGATCCGCGATATTGGCGTCGGCCTGCTTGGCGACACCTGCTACAAGGCGCTCATTCTCGATGTCGACGAGACCAATGTCGACTGCATCAAGCTGGCCGTGTCCAAGGGCCTGGGCGTCGGCATCGTGGCCGCGTCGGCGGTCGTCAAGGTGCCTCAGATCCTGAACCTAGTGCGCTCGCGCTCGGCCGCCGGCGTCAGTTTCCTGTCGTACCTGCTTGAGACCACGAGCTACCTCGTGTCGCTGGCCTACAACGTTCGCAACAGCTTCCCGTTCAGCACCTACGGCGAGACGGCCTTCATCCTCGTGCAGAACATTGCCATTACGCTGCTCGTGCTGCACTACAGCGGGCGTGGCGCCGTGGCGGCGCTGCTGGCCGGCGTTCTCGCCGTGGCCGCCACGGCCCTCTTTGGCCTGGCCGAGGGCACCGCGCTGTCCATCGACGCGACCCAGCTCGGCTACCTCCAGGCCGGCGCTGGCGCGCTTGGCGTGGCCAGCAAGATCCCGCAGATTGTGGCCATCTGGCAGGAGGGCGGCACGGGCCAGCTCAGCGCCTTTACCGTGTTCAACTACCTGGCCGGCTCGCTGTCGCGTATCTTCACGACGCTCCAGGAAGTCGACGACAAGCTGATCCTGTACAGCTTCGTGGCCGGCTTTGCGCTGAACGCGGTGCTGGCCGCGCAGATGGTGTACTACTGGAACGCGCCGTCCAAGGCGGGCGTCAAGACGGCGGGCAGCACGTCGTCCGCCTCGGCCACGCCGACCCCGTCCAAGAACAACAAGGGTAATAAGTCGTCGAAGAAGTGAGCGGGACGTGGGCGAGGGCTGTGAGCAGTGCGAGTATTATCGGAGACCGGTAGACGGAAGACGGAAGACGGAAGTCGGAAGAGGGCCGAGAGAGATTCGGGGTTGGCTAATGCGGGGGTGCGAACAAGGAATGGACAACCGGGTACTGGGACATTAGACACAGGACGGGCCTGGACGGGAGAGGACTGGACTGGTCACTGGACTGGTCATTCATTCGTTATTGGCAGCAGGCGACACGGACTCACCAAATTTTCCTATGTGTCATATTTATTGTACTTGTCGTAATAAAAATGTGCTTTTGGGATTTGATATTGTTGCTCAACCTTCTTTCGCCCTGGACGCCGTCTGTTGTCTGACATGAAGTATCTAAGGGCATGCACAGAGTATGCAATGTCATACTGACGACGCCACGGCGTCCAACGGCATCAGCTGTTCTTATCCATCACCAGGCGAAGAGGGAATTATGGCTGGTTGCATATCTGCTTTCGTATCCCCATGTGTACACCGGGCTGCGGTGAAAATCTTTTCGCTTCCACCGCTTCATACCCACAGGCTTGGCACATCCGACGGTTGTTACGTTAAATGAATCGTTCGCACCCAATGTCGGCGTTGATCGGCCTTCGAGTTGATGAGAAATGCTTGCAGGGCGACCGGAGACGAAGTGGGTGCCAGTCCGTGAATGGACCCTGGATCATTCCTAGCTGAGTCTAGTTGGCCGACGTCGTGCACATTGCCAGAAAAGCCCCCGAGGAAGTCATATGGTTGCGATTGTGTTGGGGGAGTCTAAACGTCGCAACGGTCCGCAAACCTCTCCGGTTAGAACGGCGTTCATTTTTGTGTTGGCTCCGTCTTGGTGTACGATTTGTCCAGGAAAGAGAGTGGCGGGCCTCTCCTGCCCAGACCAGACCCGACAAGGAAATTGCTCACGGGCTGGTCGGCGTGGTCGCGTGTTCGCATTTTTGCGCATTTTTGCCCTTATCGCTGTTGGTCTGCTTGGCTGCCTGCCAATCTTTTCTTTGTTTTCTGTCACCGAAGCCACTTTGGGCAATTTGCATCGCAAAATTTTGAAGTCCACGTGAGCTCTTTCCTTCGGTAGACGAGCACTTCACCGTACGTTCACGACGGCGGCAACAGCGATCGCCATCAGTTGCTTCCTTCTGTTTGTGCCTGGTGACGTCCCAGTATTACTATGTGTGGCTCTTTCCGTTTTGCTGGCATCACATTCTGTCTGCCCATGCCCCTCGTCCCCCACCTCGTTCCTGCCCGATACAGAAACCCCAACCGACTAAGACAACAAAAACAAACCCTTGCATCTGGCAAACCCCAAACATCCCCCTCCTTTTTATCACGACTCATACACACCAAATAACACGCTACACTGACTCGACACTTTTTTCCCGCCACTTGTGTCCACTATGCTACTCTTTCCGAGCCTACGGAGCCGCTGGCCAATCGTCGGACGTTCCGGGAGAGTTTAGCGTTCCAGCGATTCCTCGCAGAGAGCCTCCAGTGGGATGTGGGACCCTGACAAATTGGCCTCTGTGTCGTAACACCTCTTTGTCGGCGTCTAGCCGCTCGTTGGCGTCCTTTTTGGTTTGTCCTTGAGCGTGTCACAGTACGTATTTATATCCGCCGCGCCGCATCCCTTGGCCTTATTTTTTCCTGTCTTCCTTTTGCTAGTGTCGATTGCACCATCGCTACACTTACGATCCCGTCGACATTGCGTGCTTGTGATTACTTGTGGTGCAAGCTGCATTGTATTGCAAATTCGGATTTCTTGGACTATACGTTGCTTCTTCAGCTTAATTGCTTTGTTGTTACATTCGTGTCGACGTCGTTGATAGTTTCGTCAGCTCCTTTCGACGTCTATTACGAGTTCCATTTTTTGTGTATTCTGGGGCTCAGCGGTCAAGGGATTTGTGGTTGTGGCCAAAACGGGAAAAAGGGGACAAGGAAAAGGTCTTGACATTATTTTGTACAGATTACTTTTCCTTTCTGCTTCGTTTTCTTCTGTTTCTTGTTTCTGTATTACACATTCGCCCATCGGCCCCTTCCCATCTTCATCTATACTCCCCCGCGTTATTCTCTCACATTATTCTTTGTACCGACGGCGGCAAACTCGCACCCCTTCCTTCTCTCACGCTCGCCTCTCACCAGTGTCACTCCTCTTGTTGCTTTCCGCACTGTTTTCTTGTTTCTTGTCTTGCCTGTTCACGTGTGGCTCAGTTCATACATTAAAGAAAAGAAAACATTTTATATTCCTGTCTTCGTGACAGCCTCGCTATTTTTATCGTTGTTCTCGTCTGACAGGAGGCAACGGGACAAGACTTGTTACTTACACAGGACACACTCACGCTCAAACTCAAACTCATACTCATACGCAACGACAAGCGTTCGGGGAAACGCCATGGCCCCGGATCTCAACTCGATGCCTGCGTCGCCGGCCGTCGGCGCCACCGCACCCTCCACCTCCGCGCCCGTCGCCTCGTCCACGGGCCCGCAGGCGCCGCCCAAGCCGACACGTAAGCAGCCCAACATTCTGTACGTCATGGCTGACCAGTTGGCCGCGCCCCAGCTGAAGATGTACAACCCGAACTCGCAAATCATCACGCCCAACCTGGACGCACTGGCAGCCAAGTCTGTCCAGTTCGATTCGGCCTACTGCCCGTCGCCCCTCTGTGCACCTTCGCGCATGAGTATGATCACGGGCCGCCTGCCCATGGGCATTGGCGCCTACGACAACGGCGCACAGATTGGCAGTGACATTCCGACATATGCGCACTACTTGCGCCTTCAAGGCTACCACACCGTACTCGCGGGCAAGATGCACTTTATTGGCGACCAGCTGCACGGTTACGAGACGCGGCTGACGAGCGACATCTACCCCGGCGACTTTGGCTGGGTCGTCAACTGGGACAAGCCGGACACGCGGCTCGAGTGGTACCACAACGCCAGCTCGATTGAGCAAGCCGGTGTTTGCGTGCGCAGCAACCAGCTGGACTATGACAATGAGGTCATGTATCGGTCGGAGCAGTACCTATATGACTATGTGCGGGCGGACCCGTCGACGCGCCGGCCGTTTTGTCTGACGGTTTCGCTGACGCACCCGCACGACCCCTACACCATCCACCGCAAGTTCTGGGACATGTACGAGGGCGTCGACATTGACATGCCCAAGGTCAACATCCCCAAGGAGGACCAGGACCCGCACAGCAAGCGTCTCCTCAAGGTGTGCGACCTGTGGGACAAGGAGTTCACGGACGAGCAGGTCAAGCGCGCCAAGCGCGCCTACTACGGCGCTGTCAGCTATGTCGATGACTGTCTCGGCCGCCTGCTGGGCATCCTGAAGGACTGCGATCTAGCTGACGACACCATTGTTATTTTCAGCGGCGATCACGGTGACATGTTGGGCGAGCGCGGTCTTTGGTACAAGATGTCGTACTTTGAATCTTCGGTGCGTGTGCCCTTCCTCATCCACCACCCGCCGGGCATCGGCGTCAACGGCGGCGAGGGGCAGGAGGCCAACGCCAACTCCATCAAGCCCCACCGTGTCTCGCAGAACGTGTCGACGCTCGACATTCTGCCGACCATGTGCGATCTCACGGGCGCCACGCCGCACCCGGACCTGCCGATGGACGGCCAGTCGCTGCTGCCGCATCTGCAGAACCGCGACGGCGGTCCGGACACTGTCATCGCCGAATACACGGGCGAGGGCACTGTGGCCCCGCTCATGATGATCCGCCGTGGCGCGTACAAGTTTGTCATCTGTCCATCGGACGGCGTGCAGCTTTTCAACCTGCAAACCGATCCTGATGAGCTGATCGACCTCGCCAAGGCGCTACAGAAGAAGGCGGAGCTGGGTACCGTGCTCACGGCGGAAGAGGAGGTAGCCCGGCAGGTTCTCACCGCGTTCGAGGCCGAGGCCGCCGAGCGCTGGGACATGGATGCCATCACCAAGGCGGTGCGCCAGTCGCAGCGCCAGCGGCAGCTGGTGTGGCCGGCGCTCAAGACGGGCAAATTCACCAGCTGGGACTACGACCCGCACGACGATGGGCGCGAAAAGTACATTCGCTCGCACATGGACTTGGACGATCTGGAGCGCATGGCACGCTTCCCGCCGGTTGATCGATGGGGCAAGGATGCACGTACGTAGGCTAATGACTGAGCTCTGAGGCCCAAAAGCAAGTTTGTCTGATCTGTCAACACTTTTGTCTCCTACATTTTTATTACCTTTCTCGGCATGGCCTCTGCAATGTTTGTCTTTCTTTCATTTTATCAAACGCGACACATGAGAAATGATTTAGTCTAGTTACAAATTCAATCAAACAACTGTCATATAAATACTAAATATGAAGGGAAATGCGAATGTTGTAAGCCACATATATTGGTGTACGATAGACGGAGTAGTATGTCGTGGAACGGACGTTGTAAGGTGATGTTAGTGCAACGTCAGTGGTTCGTTGAGACGTGCTTGACGTTGGTGGTGGAGGCGCCCCACTATTTCGGCTCCTTCCCCACCCAGCGATGAATGGCCAATTCAGTGCTTCGTCGCGTAGCTTCCTTCTTCGGCTCAACTCTACACGACTCTACACGACTTTCCCTTAGCCCCACGACACTTTTCTCTCTACGATACCCTCCTCCACCCGCCTATTCCTCAACTCCGTTACTCCTGCTTACTCACGATGGACTCCGACGACACGGCCCTCGGTCTCACACAAGAGGACCTCAAGGCCATCGACACGGTCCGTGCGCGGCTCTACCAGCTCACCAACAGCGTGCAGCGTCTCAAAGGCGATGTCCTCATGGGCGGCGGCCGCGGCGACGGCGTGGACTCGAGTCTGCTGCCGACACCCGAGTCCATCCAGGCATCGTCGTTTGTCCTCCAGCAGAATCTGGCGTCGCTCAACGAAGTCATGGCCCAGCATGCCGAGCTGTTCCGGCGCATCGTCGTGCACCCGGACCCCATGTACCCGGGCCGGACCGAGGAGCAAATACTGACGTCGCTGCTCCGCAAGAAGCTGGAGCCGGATGTGGAGCAGGTTGCGGAGCGGGCGCGCGAGACCGCGGCGGCGCGGGGCATTGGACGGACGAGTTTTGCCGAGTCGCTCGGGGCCAAAGGGCGGCGGCGAGGGCGGCGGCACGGCGGCATGGAGGACGAGGACGAGGACGAGGAAGATGAGGACGATGAAGACGACGACGACGACGACGACGACGACGACGACGAAGACGGCGACGACTCGGACAACGACAACGGCCCGCGCGAGCCGTTTGGGCTGGGCGACGTGTGGTACGAGGCGCGGCGGTGGTGCATGGACCGCCTGGGGCAGTTTATCCGCGAAGAGGCACCCGATGTCTACACGAAACAGGAGCGAGAGATGGGCGTGGAGAATGTGCGGACTGGGCTTCGGCGGTCGCTCGAGGAAGACGACGAGGACGAGGACGACGAGGACGAGGACGAAGACGACGAGGACAAACTGAAGGGCGATGACGACGAGGTCATCATGATTGACGACGGTGCACCACCGACGAAACCGCAAACACAGGCAGCAGCACAAGCAACCCAGCCATCACAACCACCAGCCGGCCCGGCCGCAGAGCCTGAAGTACTGCTGTGGCTGGCGGCGCGTGGCGACACGGACCTGCCACGGTACGTTGAGATTGAGTCGCAGCGGGCAGCAGCGGCAGCGGCAGCCCAGCGACGAATGTGACGGAGAAGCAGTACGGAAGAAGGACGAAGGCAGAAGTTTACGGGCTGTGCAAATAATACCCAATGATTCGATGTTCGAGTTGAACATGCAGTTTTCTTTACAAACATAAGCCAATGGAGCGGCTTACGACGTGTCTCCTCCCTCTGCTGGTGTCGTATTGTGTGGTTCATAAGTGCGCCTGATTCAAGTACCAAAAAAGTCGTACTGGATGTAGTCACGGAAAACCAAAATACGTGTGTGAGTGCTGTGTTATAGGGCAGTTGTGTCAGATGCACAACGCATAATTGTCGACGGTACGACGAACGACGTGTGGGCCTGTATTGGGAAGGAGTGCAAGTCGAGCCGATTTGAACTACAGCGGACGTTGGGCGCGGCAGGCACTACCGGGCACTATCAGGCACCTACTTAAACAAGACTTACATGGCTTCAATATGCTTGGAAAGAAACAGCCGCATGTGCATGCAACTTCGTTTGGGAGTGTCTCGCATACCGGCGAATTGAGATTAATGTATCTTGTTCCCGGCTTCGACAGTTCCAGGCCGTCCGTCGTAGTTATCGGGTTTGTACCTTTGCTGGGAAAGGAGGCTTTCTTTCGTCCTCTGTAAATGATCAGGCGTCGTGTGCTTGTGCTTTTTCTCCTCGGCCAAGGTCGCAGGCGCCCCCTTTCCGTTAGTCTTTTTCGCCTTGGTTCCAAGAATCTTCGGCATTGAACTTGTCAAATCGCTGATTGGGACTCTCACTGGAAAATGCTGTCAGCCCTATTCTCGTGCGTGATGTCAGAAATCAGTGCTTATGGCTCGCAATCCCTGGATCGGTCTTTCCACGCCAGAGCGCCCAGGCGCACCTTCCTTCAACTTGACGAGACTTTGCACCTTCCTCAGCCACATTGGGGGGCAACTGCTCCCACAATCTCGTCCCAGGATCTGACGCCAACCACCATTCTGCCCCTTTTCTTCTTTCATCCACTTTGGTGAGATGACGCGCAAACCAAACCTCGCTACAAACCCGTGCGATCAGTCAACAGCCACCAGGCGTCTGTCAAATTCGACAGTTTGATTCCCCTGTTGGCCGCCACCACCTGCTTCCCCATTCTTCAGCCCAATGGGAACCAAACGGCGACTTACAACATGGATGGTGTCTCCCACCCGCCACTGCTGATTGAAGAAAGTGACAAGTTGGTGTTAGACCGTCTCTGGTCGTCTTTCGTCGAATCAGATTTGGTTTGGGATGACGGCCATGGGCCTTAACCCGGTTCAGACTATCTGACGGGGTGTGAAGGGAGTGAGAAGTGTAAGAGTTGCAGTTTGGCGCAGGCGGCATAACTACATAACGGACAATTACGACGTGCAAAATGGAACGAGAAGACGTCAGACGACGACGACGACAATTCAAAGCGAGAACTTGGGAATCTCACTGTGCCGCGAAACAAATCTACAGCGCCCCAGTCGTGGCTCTTTCTTGCATGTTGCTCAATCATCTTTCTCGTACCCTCCCCGTTTCCCTTCCTTCTTTCAACAACATCGTCTTGTTTTCTTCTGCCCATTGCTTTTTGCCCGATTTTCTCGCAGGCTTTTGTTTACAACCCACATGACACAATGGGCGAAATGCTGTTTGCTAGTGCTGCCTATGCCGAGGAAATCCGGACTGGCGGTAGCCTCACAATGTCTCAAATTGTGACGTCGACGCCGTCAATTGCGTATAAGATTACTGCCGCTGGTGACGACTATGACGAGGTCACGGGAGTACGGGTGAAACGAAGCGCTTCTACCACACGACGGAAATCTCAGCCATGGAAGTCACCGGATGGGTACGACAAGGGACAGACGGACGTCAAAACACTGACTTCTCATGAAGCACCACTGCCTTCACATACTGAAGCAGACACGCAACCACAAGAGATTGGCAGCTCTTATACTAGGACACAGATATCACCAGCACCGTTGGTTTCGCAGGAACACGTGCCACTGCTCCACCTGCCCCTCGAAATCCGCCTTCAGATCTACCGTTGGGTTCTGCTGCTGAGCACGGTTGACCCAAAGCCAGGCTCGACGGCCACTGCAGGAACAACCACCAACGACTCTGCAATGTCCGTCTCGAGCACGCTCTTCCACTGTATGCCGCCCTACTTCTTCGACAGCCCGCAGCACTTTGGCCCGGGTGACGGTATCATGTTTATGAACATGTTTGCCAGCAACGAGCACCAAAGGCCGCTGCACTTTCGGCGGCTAAGACCGAAGCCGCCGACCAACGAGACCCCGCAAGAAGACCATCGAGACCAGAAGAGTACAGTCTTTGACAACGTCCCGTTGCTCGCCTCGTACCGCCCCGTTGGCCGTGCGGTGCCTGTCGGCCTGCTCGTCAGCTGCCGCCAGGTCTACCGCGAGGCCCGCACCATCGCCTTTGAGACAAGCGAGTTTGTGTTTGTGCGTCTCTTCAGCTCGGGCCTGTCGACTGCTCACTCCTTTATTGTGCTCGGTAGTCAGTCCTACCCGGGCAACGTAGGTGGCGGCATCCCGCTCCTGCAGCCGTGGCAGCGCGACTGCCTGCGCCACGTGCGGCTGGAGCTGGACGTGAGCGTTGCCGACATGGGCTGGACGGGACCCGAGCGGGATCCCAAGTATGTGGCGGCCGAGGGGTCGGACGCTTCGAAAGACGCGCCCAAGATCATGGATGGGCCCAAATGGCTCGCCCTCTGTGACGCCCTGGCCAAGGGCCTGCACGGCATGCGCGTCCTCCTCAACATTACCGAGGAGCAGTACGACACGAACGCAGAGCGGGACGAGGGCACCAAAGAAGACGACGAGTACACGTACACTCCGGACGAGGCGGCTGCGGCTGCCCGCAGTGTCTTGGTCGAGGGGTTCACTCGCCTTGCTGCCCTGCGTCAACTAGAGATTGAGCTTGTCTGGGTGCTGCGCGGCCGCTTCCGCAGCCGCGCCGCCAATTTGACCCCCGCTGCCACGCGCAACAACCTCATGTGGTGTGCCGCCGTCGAGACGGCCATCCACGCGGCGAGACAGGCACGACTGGAGACGACAGCGGTATCTGGAGCATCAGAGTCGACGCGCCGCCCTGTGTTGACCAAAGTCGTCTGCGTGGAGCGCATCTACGACGAGGAGTTGAAGAAGGATAGGGGTTTTGAAGAGGGTTCTGGCTTCTAAATTTTCTGGAACCTTGGGCTTACTCGGAGGTCATCATAAGGTGTGCGTTTTTATTGTTATTATTATTATACGGGCAACATTCAGAGCGGGCATGTCTCCATTTAACTTGATTTGTTTTGTTACTTCCCACGCTTGAATTCACTTCTACTTAAAGGGTTTTCATACACCACATTAGTCTGGCAACAATAGACGAAGGTAAAAGGTAACGCTAATATCCATTGTGTCTAAAGCGTACACACGGCCCTCGGGCTTGTAATAAATCACCAACAAGCCTCAGGCTTTGCTCGAATTGTCGATGAAGGATAGTACGTGAAGTCTGGGTCCTCAGTTTGAACCCAACGGCAGTCAAATGCAGTCAAAGCGGTGGAGAGGGAGTGAGAGCACATGCAATCGTAAAAGGGTAACTTTTGCCATTCGTTTCATCATTGTCGTCGTGTGTATACGCGATAACCAACCACAGAAAAAACAATATAGAAAGAAGAAGAGAAGAGTTGAACAACAAGAGAAGACAGCAGGAGGGTGTCATGGGAGACCGGGACAAGGAAAGATGTTTGACAACAACAGGAAACTTGGCCGAAGCCAAGACGACAAACGCCCTTCTTATACCAGCTTCGTCTTTCTCCTTCAGCACGTACTGTCGAATCCACCTTCATGCGCTTCCTTTTTTCACCGCTCCAAAATAACCATGATTCGTTTTCCTCGAGCCGTAGCAAGAGAAACCACAAGACAAAACAAAACGGGAACGAGCCAAAATGTAGTATATGTTTGTAAAAAGAAAACACAAAAAGACAACCCAAGAAAAACCGCACAGCCAGACACCTCCAATGGGGCCAAAAATGATGGTAATGAGAGATGAAAGAGAGCAAGAATGTAGAACACAACCGGAAAGAATGGATACTGCTTTTGACAAGGGCGCTTGGGTATGCAATGCTGCCTTATGGGGTCAAATCGATATGCCAGTAAGAGTGGATGTCTTGCGCAACTATAACTCCTCTTCGTCTTCTTCTTTGAGCGCCGGTGCTGTTGTGGCCGAACCGGCTGCTGCTGGTGACGGCGACGTGCCGAGCGATCCACCCAAAGCGGCTCCCAGGCCCGATCCGCTTTGGCTGCCGGACTGACCAGGTCGGTTGTATGCCGCCTCAGCCTTGGCCAGGATATCACCGAGTGCTGGTGGGAAGGCACCCGAATTGAAGACCGATCTTGGGTCGGCTTCGGAGCCCTCGGCTACACTGGCCCGGTGTCGCTTGAGCGGGCTGCCAATCACAGTGTCGTCTGGCAGGCCCTTGCCATACAGCAACCCTGAATTGGCCGATGTGCCGAGCACAGAACCATCGCCTCCTGATACGCTGCCGCCTGTGCCGCCCGACACAGCCGAGGCGACGCCGGATGCTAGGCCCGAGGCGCTCGGTGTGGCACCGCTTCCCTCGGTCGGTGTCAGCTCGCCGCCAAAAGGCCCCGTGCTCGGCGATTTCCGGGCGGCGTTGGACGACGCCGCTGCACTGTCAGGGTCGACGGAGTGTTGCCGCTTGAGCTGGAGTGGTTGTTAGCAGGGACCCAGTTGCATTCATATGCTTACAGCCGAAGGAATAAGAAAAGAAAGAAAATAAAAGAAAAACTGACCCGAATGCGGTTGACACCGTCAGCCAGCTCACCCGAGAATTGGGCGTCCTCGGGCGTCAGCCTGTCTGACGACTTGCCACCATCCTTATCGTCGGCATCGTCCATCTTGCCCAGAATCTTGTCGTCGTCTTCATCGTCCTCGTCACTGTCTTCGTCCATGGTGTTCGTGGTGGCGTTTGTGTTTGCCACGCTGCCGTTCCGTTTGTGGCCCGCCTTCTTCTGGCGTGTAGGGTCGGCGTCGTTGTCGCGGAACGTCGAGAAGCCGACGGTGCCGGCTGTCTTGAGCGGACCAATACTGGAAAAGTCGAGCTGGGCAGACTTGCGCTTGGCGTCCGTGGCCGTCTGTTGTGCGCCCTTGGCGGACGGGATGATGCCCATTTTACTTAGTTGGCCTGGACGGGAGAGTTAGCAACAGTGTCAAAATTATACCACGGGGGGGGGCAATGTACACCGCAGGTCCGGTATTTGGTGGGCTGACGTACGCTCGCCGCGGTAGAAAAAGGTAAAGACGGCGTAGGGCTTGTCCGGGCCGTCAATGCCAGTCACGGTCTGTGTCGAGATGGTCTTGGGGTCGAGGGTCTTGGGCTTGGCGAAACTCGTCGTGTGCTCGACGTCGGCATCGACCCCGCTCCCGCCGTTGCCACCACCCTCGGCATCGTCATCATCGTGTGCGTCAAACTGTGGAGAGTACTCTCCCTTTTTGATCTCACCGGAAGCCAGCACACGGAACATGGCGACCTTGATCTGGCCCGTCGCCTCGGGGAGCTCGTCGTCGGAAGATACAGAGTCGTCCGAAAGGTCGTCGTCCTCAAGCGCCTCGACAGGGGACTGCGCATCGGCGCCGCCGTACCGCAGGTCACGGCTCGTGCTGCTCTTTCGGCGATGGTTGCTCGTATTTGTGGAAGATCCATTCTGCTGCTGCTGCTGCTGCTGCTTCTGCTGCAGCTCTTGCCTCCGCCGGCGCTTCTCGAAGCGCTGCCGTCTCTTCTCCAGCTTGGCCGCGGCGTCGTGTCCCTCAAGATCCAGGCCGTTAAGCCAGCGCTCGAGGCCGACTTCGCGGAACAGGAACTCGCGCTCAGCCAGACCGCCGCCCTCTGTCTCAGGAACTTGTACCCAGCGGCTGTTAACCCATGTTTCTTCGCCAGGCCGCAACAACGTGGCCACTTCTTCCTTGGCGCGGCCGTCAAAGTAGATATAGGCGGCAATGGTCTCGTTTTCGGAGTTGGTCATGGGGATGTAGGGGGTGACGATGCCGGCGAACTTGCTGTCGCTGCCGGACGAAGGCAGCTCGCCGACGACGTGTGGCTTAGGATAGGGGTTGGCATCGGAGGCCTTGGGCGTCGAGTATGGAATGGGCAGGCCCGGTGTGAGGAGGGTGATGGAGATTGCGAACTTGGCGGCCTCTGGCTTGCCGGAGTCGGTGGACAGCTGGGGCTGCGGGACGGGGATGTAGCTGTTAATGCGGGAGACACGCGACTGTTTCTGGATGCCGTGCTCGGGGAGCGGCGCACCATTTGCATGGATGCTGACCGCGATGCCCTTGAAGCAAGGCATCGTGGTGGACGGAGGGGGGGATAGGGAGAACCTCGAGAGGATGGCCCGAGAACAGAACTGGGCAATACAGCAGTTGATGTACGCTCTTGCTGCTGTGTATGAGTGTAGAAAATGCTGATGCTGGATGCCTGGAGATGAAGAGCAGCACGGAGTTGGGTAGAGGTCGAGTGATGCGGCCAATGGCGAGAAAACAAGGCCGAAGGAGAAATCGATACTGTGCGAATCAAAAAATAAGAAATAAAATCGAGCTTCCTGGAGGTCGCCCGAGAAAAGATTCTGGCACTACTGTGGCTGGTAAATTGGGACAGGAGAGTCTGCGTGGGTCTCTAGTGCGTGCTCAAGCTGCGTTGGTCGACGTTGCGGCTAGGAAGCTCGGTTGGGCGGCATGGACGACCAGGGTTCGGTATTCGATGCTCACTAAGCTGTACGGCAACGATACAATAGCCACTGATGGTGCGATCCTGATCGTTGAGATAACGTGCTGTAGAAAGAATGTCGAGATACGAGGCAAATGGAGACGAGGCCGTGGTTCGTGGGACTGCAAAACTCGACGTTTGTTAGGGACCGGGGTGGTCTGCGACAGCGTCTCGAATCGTAGCGGTCGAGTCGAGGTTGGCGGGGTTGGGAGAAGACGCGAGGCAGAGACGAACCATGAAAACGCTCGAGCAAGATTGGGAGATGGAGTTGCTTGCAGCAACAAGGCGGAGAGTGGATTGCCGGTGAGGAGAAGGAGACTGCAAATTTCGGAGGGGAAGAATATTCGGCCTGCGTTCCCCCAGGGGAGTAGTGGAAGGAGGTGAGTCGAGGAGATCGTGGGAGGCTGGGGACTTCCTTCCGCCTGGTAACAATTTGCGCGTTCTTCCTTCTCTAATATTGGGCGTTCTTTCTGGAAGCTGATCCTGTTCCTTGTCTAGGAAAGGGCATTCGTGGCGTCGTGCAGTCGTGCAGGAAAGAAAACAAACAAAAAAAGGAAAGAGCAAAGGGCCACAGATCGCAGGACTGGCTTGAAGACGTAAGTTACAGGGGCGGGACACGGTCAAAGAGGGGGTTTGAGCCAGCGAGGCAAAGAGGCACCGAGGCACCTAACGGCGTAATAAGGCGTTGGCAACGGGGGCAAACAATGCGGCACGCGCGCAGCCGTTAGTGTGTGCGGGTGACTGTCGGAGCGCAGCTGGGCAAGGACAACAAACAGCGAATCTTGGGACTAAAGTTTGGGGCGGTTAATGATGTGGCAGATCGTTGTCATGCAGTGTGGCTGCCGGATTTGGGACGTGCTTTGCTACTGTGACACGCACGTTCTTTCACGTTTGTTGTTCCTCTCAGATCTATTCTCATATCTATTTGTTTGTTCCTGTGTTGTTCGTTGTTCCTGCCGTTCCATTGTTGCACATATGGTCTCTTTTCTTTAATTTTCAGTAGCGGTTTCCCTACGCCAACCAGCCGTGACCTCTCCCTCTGGGATAGCCACATGTTCCTGCTTTTGGGAGCGAGACTGTCGCGTGGTAATGCAGAGAGGCACCTTCCGAAGCTCGCAGTGAACGTCGTACCTGCCGGGGCTAAATCACTCGTAGGCGGCAGACGCTCCTTTGACGAATATCACTTTATATACGATACACGGCATCTCCCGTCAGGAACAGACCTAGCAAGAGTAGTCATTCTTTTTTTTTTTAATAAAAAAAGTCGGTTCCTGCGTGATCAGTAAGATATGGGTCGTATCAAAAACACAAAAGCGAATGAAAAGTGATGGGGAAAAGGAATGTGCAGTTCTGGCGGTGAGCAAAAATATGGTCGCTCTTTCCAGTTTCGGCGTAATCACGCCAGCTACAGAGTGGGGGAGGGAAAGAGCATCTGCCCAACAAGTGAGGGGAGAGGGAGGTCGGTTGAGGAAAGTAGGAGCATGAAAAGAAAATGGCGGGGATTTGACCAGGCAAGAGCGGCCAGCTGCCAACAGCGCACATCAACAACAGCAAAAGCATTGTGGTGGGGCATCGCTGGCGCCAGGGCTGGGACTGGACAAAAGCTCTGACGGTAAGTGGAGCCCTGGCAAGGTGGAATAGGTGCCGATGCGGCGGCAGGAACAAATGTGAAATCAATTTTTGAAATTGGTGGTGTGGTTGCCGTTTGTTTTGCATAGTTGGTTTGTGGATGTACAGATGGGAAGGCACGCTGTCACATACATCACTCTATCCGCACAATCTCGAGTCCCATGAGGTTGAGCGCGGTATGACGAAACGACCACATTAGCAGGGTGGGTCAGCCGGTGACAACGTGTGCCTACACGAGGAAGACAATGAGGTCATAAACAGCACGGTGCATGCACAGTGCACGTGGCCTTCGCAGCGTGCGAACTACGAAGTATGTCTTTTCGATAGGTCCAGTAATCTCATATTCTAATATGCGAACCGTCTACGAGATATAGAGTATGTTTATTTGTTTCGAGGGAATACTTTACCTGCCCCGTCTTTTCGTACCGCTTTACCACTGCGTCTTCCACCAGGACACCATCTTTGCTACCAGCCCGCTCCCAATGACGTCGAAGCCGGATTGCGCTGTAGCACTCGCTGCCTCCGTCTTGTGCGTATCGAAAACAAGGCCTGCGCGTCCAGGCCGGTCGTTGTCGTACTTTTCAGTATAAAAATCAATGAGCTTGATGGCTGGGTTGCGGCGCGGGTCTGGGTCGGAGGCGCGAAGGCGAGCCACCCATTCGCGCTGTGGGACAACCTCAAATTCGAGGCCGGCGGCACGCAGAGCCGGAAGCAGGTCATCGGTCCAGCGGAACACCTTGCAGTTCTGGACCTGGTAGACCGTGGACAGATCGACGATGTCGCCGGTGTCGCCGGTGTCGGCGTCGTCTTCTTCAGGCCGCCCCGTTAAGCCAGACAGCTCCAAGACCGCGCGTGCCATGGCATCGACAGGCATCCACGACGGCGTCTCATCCAATGCCGGCAGGGCGCCCGTGGTACGAGCGCTCTGGAAAATCAGCGGGATGGCCTCGGAGGTGCTCCAGATGCCACGCTCGGTATCGCCAATGATCTGGCCCAGACGCAAGACTCGCGCGGTCATGCCGGTCTGCTTGGCGGCAGCACGCACAATATGCTCCGTGACGACCTTGGAGCGGGCATAGCCCATGGCTTGAGCGTGGTGGAGATTGGTAATGTAGCCTTCGGAAATGGTGGCAGGGAGGGGCGCACCAGCGGCGGCCGAGATGGACGAACAGAAGAAGAGACGGGCGGCTGGCCGCCTGCCGCCCACGTTTGAGAGGGCGACGTCGAGCAAATTGCGCGTGCCGCGGATGTGCTGGGACTCAAAACTGCGGACGCCGAGGTTGAAGTTGACGGCCCAGGCGGCGTGGACGACGGTGGTCAAGGTCTCGCGGAAATCGGCCAGCATCGTATCGTCAAGGCCGAGCGAGCCCTGGCTAAGATCGGCGGATAAACAGACAACGCGCTCGTCCCGTGGAAGTGGCGATAGGCCCTTGGCGGCAAGTGTCGCCTGGACACGCTCTTCGGCGGTGGCCCGTGACGGGGCCCGGACAAGACAATAGACACGTGCCACGTGCTGTGCGTCCTGCTGGACGAGCTGATGCAGTATGTGTGCGCCCAGCGAGCCTGTGGCGCCGGTCAGTAGCACGGTCTGGGGACCACCGTGACGTGCTTTGGTTGTTGTAGCGTCGAACGTGGCGTTCGCTGAAAAGTCACTGTACTTGGCAATCAGCTCGTCCATGGCCTTGATCTCGCTGGCGTCGTTGCTGTCATGTTCTCCATTGCTACCGGTCCGCAGCGCCACAAAGTGCTGGGCCAGCTGGCGGATGCTGGGCAACTCAAAGACGACATTGTGGCCTGGCTTGCGGCCGCCGAGGTCGATCTCTCTCAAAATCAGGGCACGGGCCGTGATTGCCTGCAGACTGTCGACGCCAGCGTCAAACAGGTCTGTGTCGGCCTGCAGACGGTCGGCAGAGACACCAAGAAGCTTAGTGAAGAGGTCGAGGAGGTATCTCTCGAGCTCGGTCTCACTCAGAGTGAGGAGAGGCTTTGACGATGCGGTCACCTCTGCGTCGTCGCCGGCCGCACCCTCAAACCGGACGTATACGGCCTCGATCTCAGCGGCAAAGCGCTGGTAAAAGGCGGCCCGGATCACAGTGCCCTTATCGGTGCACGGATATTCAGTGTCAGCTGGCAGGATCGCGACCATCTCGCGCGAGATGCGACCAAACGCCTCAGTCTGCGCGTTGGTGGCCTCAATGGCGGGCATCAGCGCATCCAGCAGCAGCTTGTTGTTGCCCTCCGATACCAACGAGGCGGCCTTGTCGCTTGGCACGATCATGATGCCAGGAACGGCGCGACCGACGCCAAAGACGACACACTCACGCACAAGATCGTGCTGGCGGATCTGGTGCTCGTAGGGGATGGGAAGGACCTTCTCACCGTTGAACAGAGTGACGCGATCGTCGATACGGCCGAGATGCTTCCAGGCGTCGTGCATCGTCGGATGCTTGGCAAACAGGTCGCGCGTGTGGAACGAGTTGGGCGGGTCGTCGCTATTGGACAAGACCTTGGACGGCAGGCCGTCGAGCACGACGCACTCGTAGGTTGTGTCGATGCCCTCGGCACCGGCACCCAACGGCACCATGCGCAAGAACGGCTTGGCTGACGGCACGGGCCGCATATACGCCCACTCCTTGTCCATCTCCGGGTCGCGGAAGGACGTCATCAACTGGCCCATTTCGGTACTGTTGGTCAGCATCAGCAGGTTCGTTTGGGAAGGCAGCTAAACAGAAAAGACAAAAAAAAAAGGGTAGGACAAAGAGATGCAAGGACGGAAAACCCACGCTCCGTAATGGCCCGCAAGGTAGACACCGGCAGCGACGAGCCGGTCGCCTAGCTCGTCTGGGCAGCTGCTGCCACCGTACAGGACCAGCTTGAGCGCGCGCAGCGCGTCGATACCGCGCGGATCCTCGGCCATGAGCTTCAGCGCGTAGGGCACACAGTGCAGACTCTCGGGCGCGACGGCGCGCATCGACGCCACCAGCGTGCTGCCGGCAAGCGGTAGGTTGGCGTTGTAGAGGGCGGCGGCTTTGCCGGCACACAATGCGCGGAACAGCGTCGAGAGTCCGTGGTTGTGGAAGAGCGGCAGCGTAATAAAGGCGCGGTAGGGAATGCCGCTCTCGTAGTTGGCGAGACAGGCCGCGTGCGTTTGGAAGATGGGCTTGGGAAGGCCCGTCGAGCCGGATGAGTGGATGACAAAGGCAATCCGGGTTGCTAGACTGGTTGCCGGCATAGTTGCAAACGACGGCCAAGCGGCCTCGACCAGTGCGTGGTTGTCAGCAGCAACCGCTGCTGCTGCCGTGTCCGTCGGGGCGGATACCGTGGTGTACCGCTCGTACTCGCTGAGACTAAAGACAGAGACGGGACCATGCCCTTGGCCGTTTGCCGTTGACGCGGCTGCTGCAGCTTCAATGGCCGCGGTCACGTAATGAGGCGAAACGATCATCTTAGTGCACTGCGTCTTTTGCAGCAGGTTAACAATGGCCTCCGTGGCCAGCCTGTTCGACAGCAACAGCACAGCAAAACCCAACCGCGACAGTGCAAACATCGACACAACGTAGTCCACACTGGAAGGTGCCAGGAGTGCAACAACCTCCGCGTTTTGCGCACTTGGATGATGCGGAACAACGCCAGACTGCAGATAGAGACTGGCCGCGGCATCAGCATAGCGGTCAATGTCTCCAACCGTGTGATGCACGTAGTCGTCTTTGCCCCGCGGCGTGGCCGGATAGGCAAAGAAAGGGGAATGAGGACCCTCCCTCACACGGCGGGCCAGCAGATCGTTGACGACGCGTAGCGGCGGTGTCGGGGTTGAAGAGGATGCGTCGTTCTCGACGGTAGAACCCTCTGTGCGAAGTTGGCTGTGCGGTGACAAGGGGCTGGCGGCCGACGACAAGACTGGAGCAGCAGTAGCCATGGTTGAAGAGTGACGGGCGCGGATGGGTGCAATGAATGGTCTTGTGGACTGGTTGTGCAGAGCTGCTTTGGACCTGACACGTGAAAAGAGGTGTAAAGAAATAAGTGAGATGAGAACGAGACAAAAGCAATATGAAAACAATGTGAATGATTGGAAGGGGGTAAAAATAATGTGTAGATGGGTTTTGGAGAATTACAGGGGCGAGATGCAAAGCCCAAATAGAACTCACGCCGAGAATCAAGATGTCATGGGATGCCTTTCGTCGTCTGCGACATCCTGCCTTGTTGTCTAATAAATGCAAACACAAATGGACACCAAAGGTCCAGAACCACTTTACAAAAGCTCTTGCAGTTACTCTGCACAGTTCTCGATGGCGGCATCTGTGTGAGGTGGTGTTCAGGGCAGGCGGTTGTGGGAAATAAGTGGCCGTTGGCTTTTCCGATGCGTGTTAGTACCGTAGTAATGGATTCGGAAAAGGATATTTTGGGATATTTTGGTGGGTTTTGTCGGAAAAGCACCAAGTGTATGGTGTTAGTGGGCGGGGCCAATGAACAAAGCCAGTCTGACCTGGCACTGTCCTTTGCTGGCGTTTGACTGAAAGAGGTAACTTTGAAGGATCACGGCCAAGCACGAATGCATTCTGCGTAAAAGACCACTCATAAAGTTCACCGCCATACCGGTCTTTGACGCCCTGGGAACATCTTAGGCGCTGTATATCATCTTTTTATCGCGCTGACGGCTGGTCTGCCACGACAGACAAGCGGATCGATCCTCGAGTTCAAAATCTGGGCAGAAGCGTCGGAAGCGTTGTTCTGGCAACAGGCGACACCAGCACGGCAAGGTGACCGCACACTAAGGCATTTGTGCGTGCTATTGAGAGCGGAGATGGGAACGAGCAAGCCTGGCAGGTGCACTTTTCCAAGCTAATGTGGGCATCGAGGCTACCAAGGGCACAAATGCGTTACTGGGCCGTTCAGTGTATGTAGAGGCATCCAACTGGGAGTTAGTACCGCATCTAGATGCGGAGTGTGTGCTGGCTATTCTGAAAGGCATCGTGTTGGCTACGTCCTTGATTAGCTGGTGAAGTAGATGATAAGTGACAGGCAATCCAAAATGTGGATATAAACAAATAGAGCGGGCAATAAATTCTTTTCTGTTTTTGTATTATAGACCGTCATGATCAGCCCCGTAACTGGTAGTCTTCATTGGGCAACGAATCGAGTGGCCAGAAGCCTGACGACACCATGGAGTCAAAGAAACCCCAGCTGGTGGCATCGGCAAGAGAGTTGCTAGGGCTACCGTTCCAGTCGGCAAGACCGCCCGCGAGTCCGCCAATCAACCCACCGGCCAACGGCACGGCAGAGAGGTCGACGGCTTGTGGTTGTAGTTGCTGTTGCTGTTGAGATTGAGAGCGAGGTTGTTGGGCATGGTGATGCTGTTCCTGGCGATGAATGCCTGACTGATCATTCGGCAGCTGATGGTTATTAAGATTGCTGTAGCTGATGCCGGTTGAAAGCCTTTCACCTTGGGCGTCCACGGCTAGCTGGAAAGCGTCTGTTTGCTGCAAAGTGATAAGTCGTAGCTCTTCAAGGACGAGCGAGTACCTCTGAGCTAGCGATCCGCTCTCAGCCAGGCGATCAATCTGGCCCTGGCACACGACGGCGGCGGCGAGGTAAGCAGCGTATGTTTCCTGTGGTGCCGACTGATGCTGGATTACGTAGACGTAAACGACGACAACGGCCGAGAAGGCAAAGTACATTGTGAACTAGGACCGTCAGTGTTAAGAGGCGTATCAAGGGTTTGTGGCAGCAGACATACCCAATAGGCTCGGAAAAGCTGGCCGTCCTGGAACAAATCGTCGACAATCTCGATAATGTGCATGGCCGCACCGACGCATTGCTGTATACTGGCCTGAGCCTGGGCTCGCACATCAGGGTCGCGTGCATTTTCTTGGGAGGAGCCGAAGTTATCGGGAGCTGAATTATTGCCACCACCACCATTGCCGACACCAGTGCCAACGCTGCTGCCACTCCCTCCTTGTCGGAGGTAGGCAAAGTTGCTCAACAAAATGGGGCGATGCGTCAGCAAAAGTGCATGCCAGTATGCGAGGTTGAGGACATGGCGCTGCCTTTGAAAGATGGGGATTAGGAGAGATGCACTGACGCGGTCGGCGTCCAGGAAGCGGGCAAGGCTTAAATCGTGCTGTCGCCATGCTCGTAGGGCGTCTGTGTGCTTTGCGGTGAGGATGGCCCGGGTCGTCGACGAGATAGGCCGGATAGCGTAGAGGTCGCGTAGGATCAGGCTGACGATCTTGGATAGGCGGACATGGGCAACTGGTGCTAGCATGACAGACATCCCGCGAAGAGCGCCTCTGCCACCGCTCCCACCGCCTCCACTGCCATCGCTGCCACCCTCTGCCACATTCATACCAAGTCCGATACCAACGCCCTGGTCAACACCCTGGCCCAGAGAATGATTTCCTAGACTCAAACCCGCACTCGGTGTCGGCCGCCAGATGATCTCGCCGTGCAGAATGTCACGGTCTTCGGCAATCGATGGCAGCTCTTGATCAATGTCTTCGTCGTGGAAGGTGCGTGGGCGGCCGAGGGCGGCACTCAAGTAGTTGTCGAGACTGTAGGCACACCAAAACGTGCGGCGACGGCACTCCACGTCAATCTGGCTGAGACCGCCGGCTGGATCGGCGCGGCGGTTGCGGTTGAGGCCAATGGCGAGCGCGAGATGGGCGGTGGTGCCGAACAAGCTCCAGCACTGGTTGATACGGGACTGGGACAGCAGATAGAAACACTGGCACAATCGGGCCTGGACACTGGCAAGACGGATGGCACCCTTTTCTCGGGCGAGCTGCCGCTCGGCAGCGCGGTAGAAGTGAGCACTGGAGTCCATGTCTGCGCTGACATCTGACGCGGGGAGATAATCGCGTGCCTGGGCAAAAACCATGAATAGCACGGCGGCCTGAGCACGTCCATCTTCCCGAGTATCTCGGCCGTTGCCACCGTTTCCATCATTGCCATTGTTGTTGTTGCCCTTCCTAGTCGTGTTCGTCGTCATGCGGCCTCGTGTGGCATAAAAGGTGGATAGCCAGAACTCGACCGTGGGCCGGTGTAGGAAGCGATGCGTAGGCACGGCAAAGTCAAAGTAGCGCGCAAGCAGAGCATTGGCCTCGGGTTGTGTTAGGAAGAGCAGTGACGTGTCAGAGCCACCGACTACATATAGGTCGTCTTGTCCCTGTGTAGTCGGCTGAAGCGGAGCGTCGCCAAAGGTAAAGATAGACGATGATGGCTGTTGGAAGGAAACATTATCACGGAGTTTCTTCTGCACGCGGAGAAGAAACGAGACTCCCGAGGCTGGGCCGACGTAGTGACCTTGAAGATCGGTCTGCAGAGGCTCCGGCGAGACGCGGGATGAAGCAGCTTGCGCCTCCGCCGTCGGTGGAGGAGGAGGCGGTGTCGCCAGCGGAATTGCAGACTCCGGCACGGCGAGACTACATGGGGATGCATCGCCTGGCCGCCGGGCCATCTCCGCGGCTGCGGCTGACAGGAACGACAGACCTTCGGACGGCGGCTGGACAGACTGCTGGGTCTGGCTCTGGCCGTGCTGTCCTTGCCCTTGCTGCTGTCCATGTTGCTGTCCAATCCGTGTCTCGTGTTGTTGTTGCAGCTGGCCTGTCGACTGGACACTGTCACCATTCGTATTGCGGACGGCCGACCGCTCTATTGGCACTACGGGCGAGGCTAAGACTCCGTACGATGTCGCCGAGACAGGCGACGTCGATGTTGGCGATTTGTCCGTTTGGATCGTCTGGGCCAGTGGAATCGACGGAAGTCGACCTCGGGCGTAGGACAGATCGTAGGTACATATCGCCCCGGCATCGATGCAGTGCCTACACGGCCGTATACCTGTGCATCGTACCTTGCGTCTCGGACTGTCAGCGTTCTGAACGTTGCCGTCAATACTGTTTCAGTCACTCACTTCTTGCATCGATCACAAGCACGCGTCACGCGTTGCCGCAAGTCGTTGCCGTCTCTTTTCCGGCGTTTGACTGACGGCCTGTCGTTATCCGGCTCCGAGTTGTGGACCTGGGGATGCGGGCCTTGAGAGACCCATCTTGGGGGCGGTGCATCTGCATCGGAACGCGGACTGGAATTCATGCCCCTTGTAAATCGTGGAGATGTCTCTCGTAAAGTCTGTGGGTCGGAGGGCCTTGCCTTGGATGCCCAGCGAGGCTGAGAGGGAAGGAAGCTGAAGTGTGCAAAGCGAAACGGCAGGCGCAAACGTGCACAAAAGTGGTGCTGTTGTAGAGGGAAAGCACGATGGAGAGTGCATTTTCCGAGTTCGGAAAGTACTTTTCCGAAGGCCTTCCCCGCGGCAGCACGATCGCACTTGCCGATCTCTTCGAAGATCGGCTGGGGAGGTGGCTCGCCTATCGCTAACCCGAAAGGAGGGCCACAGCATGACCTGAATGCTCCTTCTCCAGTGCGAAATGGTGCATGCTTGAGAGAAAGCCTTGAGGAAAGTGCAAGTCACAAACTATTGCCGGTTTCCATTTAAATCTCGTCTCACAAGTATTTGGTACGTCTCGTGACCTTTCACAATCCAAGCGCACGCTCAGTTTTAGCCTTACCATCAACCTCAAGACTCCCACAACTCTTGTGATCATGGCCTCCAGCACGCTCGTCGACACGCCGGTGCCTGAGCGGCCGCCTTTTGACAGCCTGCCGCTCGACCCCAACGGCCCTCCTGGCAACGCCTGGGGCCTGTACGGCGACAACGACCGCCTCGGCGCGCTCAACATGCTGACCCCGGCCGTCGTGGCCGCGGCGGCGCGCCAGGAGATCCAGACGGGCGAGCGCGTGTCGCTCGACTGGTCGCTTAACAAGCCGTCGCACCCGAGCTTTGGACGGCCGCCGTTCGAGTGGAAGCGTATTGTGAAGAAGGACGCGCACGGCCGCGACCGGACAGTCAACGACGACTATTTGGCGTTCAACACGCAGGGGTCGAGCCAGTGGGACGGGTTCCGCCACTACGGGTACCAGCAGGTCAAACGGTTCTACGGCAATGTGGCAATGGACGAGCTCGAGGGTAGACCGGACGTGATTGGCATTGACGCGTGGGTGGACAAAGGTGGCATTGTCGGGCGCGGCGTGCTGCTGGACTATGCGGGGTACTGCAAGGCGCACAGCATTGACGCGCCGCCGTACGAGTCGACGGCGTTTACCGTTGAGGATCTGGACAAAGTGATTGCCTGGCAAAAGGGGCCCGAGCTGCAAAGCGGCGATATTTTGTTTATCCGGTCGGGCAGTACCGAGGCCTACGAGGCGATGACGACCCAAGAACAGCAGGCCATCCCCAAGCGGCCGGCAACCAACTTCATCGGCCTCGCCGCGACCAAGACCAGCTTGCGGTGGCTGTGGGAGCACAATTTTGCGGCCGTGGCGGGCGACGCGCCGAGTTTTGAGCAAGCACCGCTGGCTGGGCCGCACGTGGTTCCGGGCCACACCGAGCTGAGCACGGAAGACGAGGAGAAGATGAAGGGCGGCGGGCTGATCCACCAGTGGGTGCTGGCGGGCTGGGGGGTACCAATCGGGGAGATGTTTGACCTGGAGGCGTTGGCACGCAAGTGCGCGGAGAGACAGCGGTGGTCGTTCTTTGTGAGCAGCGTACCGCTCAAGGTGCCAGGCGGCGTGGCCAGTCCTCCGAACGCCATTGCCATTTTTTAGAGAGCGAGGCGGCAGATATATGCGGAAAATGGAGAAATGCACAAGTTTTGAGGGAAACTAAAAACGAGAAAGCTCTTTCTTATATTTCATTTATACAAATATAAATGTTCATTTAAGTTTAATGTTTTTATATGTGGATTTGTAACGTAGTTTTTTGTATGGCTTATACAACAAACAGTCGATCATCCATATTCCATGGGGATGTAAAAATGCATGAATTCTCGGCCATTTAAATTGCAAGTGTCTGTAAGCGCAGCTACTTTGATATCAGGACAGCAGCTCGACGTAAAATGACGGGCAAAAGTGGTGCACCCTGCGTTGAACGAACAACGCACTTCAAAGAACGGACGGATAAGTGTACCCACTCACTCGGTCTTTCCCTGTCCGACGGCGGCACTAGCAACTTGGCTCCGTCGCGGTGTCGGAGCCTGCCCCATTTGCACCAAGGGCAAGAGCGTCATTTTCGTGTGTATATCTGGGGCAGAGCGGGGGGGAGAGAGGGGCCCGAGGGGAAGGCACGATGGGAAGCTTTAATGAGTTGATTGAGCACAGTTTTGTCGCTGCCCCTGAATACAGTCGCTTAAATCAACAAAGCAATTCAAACCGAACAATTCGCCAGCTCCAACTTACACTCAACAAAATCCACCCGCCTCTGCAAGGTCGTCGCCGTCGGCAATAACCACACTGCAATGCCTCTCCAGACGTCCTTTAAGCTCAACTCGGGCTACGAGATCCCGGCGATTGGTCTGGGCACATGGGTAATGAGGTGTTCCAATCCGTCCCCTTCTGCAGCTTTCCAATATTCTCTCCAACGGGCCAAATCACTGACAAGTCTAGCAATCCGAGCCCAATGAGGTGAAGAACGCCGTCGAAGCGGCTCTGCGCGCCGGCTACCGCCACATTGACGGCGCCGCCGCCTACGGAAACGAGAAGGAGGTCGGCGACGGCATCAAGGCCTCGGGCATCGACCGCAAGGATATTTTCGTGGGTTTTCCGATCCCCTCTTGATTCGTATCTCTACCGCTTCGGCGCTTCGTTCTGACACCCTTCCCAACGTGCAGCTCACTAGCAAGCTCTGGAACACGCATCACGCGCCGTCGGACGTCGAGGTGGCGCTCGACCAGTCCCTGGCCGACCTGCAGACCGACTACCTCGACCTGTACCTGATCCATTGGCCTGTCGCCTTCCGCAACATTGACAATGTCGAGCGGTTCCCCGTCAACGCCGAGACTGGGCAGATTGACGTCATTGACGTGCCCGTTGCGGACACCTGGAAGGCGCTTGAGGCCGTCGTGCGCTCGGGCAAGGTCCGCTCCATTGGTGTGTCTAACTTTACGCGCGAGCGCATCGAGAAGCTCTGGGAGACGGCCGAGATCCGCCCGGCTGTCAACCAGATCGAGGCACACCCGTACCTGCAGCAGCCTGCGTTCCTCAAGTGGCAGCACGACAACGGCATTGTGGTGCAGGCCTACAGCCCCATGGGCAACAACATCTACGGCAAGCCGCGCGCCATTGACGATCCCAAGGTCATTGCGCTGGCCCAGACGATTGGCCAGACGCCCGCCCAGATGCTCATCAGTTGGGCCGTGCAGCGCGGCACCGTGGTGCTGCCCAAGTCCGTGACGCCGAAGCGTATTCAGCAGAACCTCGAGGTCAAGGAGCTGCCGCAGAGCGCGCTCGACACGCTGGCCGCGCTCGACAGCCATTCACGCTACAACTTCCCCAAGCGCCTGGGCGTCAACATCTTTGGCGAGTGGAGCGAGGCCGACCTCAAGGCCGCTGTTAAGGAGTGGGTGGAGTCGCAGCGAAAGCTGAAGCAGTAACACGACGGGGTTGAACGACCGCAGAACGGAAGGTCGGAAAATCTTCATAGAATATAGACGGTATTTTTTTTTTAAAAAGAAATCACCAACAAAAAGCCTAGAAACACCAGACTGTCTTGTCCAGGCACTGATGCGTCGTCGCCGCGTCGTGTCATTTGCGCATTGGAGGCTGTTAGTAGGGGCGGAAAAGTAGCTAGGTTGTGTTTTAGTGGCATCTGCTGGCCGGAAAAGCGTCGGAAAAGCACACCTCCCTAAAAGCGTACGCGACCACAGCGGCTTGGCCGACCCCGCACGCGCCAGGAGCTCCGACATTAGCCCGACAGTAGCCCGACAGCAGCTCCGACTCAATCCCGACCCCAACTGCCGCTTTCTATGAACTACAGGACATCATTGCCCCGGATCGCCGACATCGTCCAATTGGGACCTTTGGCAGCTTCAGAACGTGTGGTTAAGTCCGATCGTATTTGCGTTCACGTTACAAAGGTGCTCATCTGTGGCCCATATTCTTCCGACAGCAAAACACTTCAAGCCGCAGGTAGCATCAATCATCACCAAAACCCTTCCACAGCTCAACCCACACATTCACACAACCGACATCATGGGAAAGATCGCCACCATGGAGTGGTTCCGGGTGCCGCCCCGCTGGCTGTTTGTCAAAATCACCGACGAGGCCGGCAATATCGGCTGGGGCGAGGCATCACTCGAGGGCCACTCGCAGGCCGTCGAGGGCTGTCTTGATGCCTGGTTTGAGCGCTACAAGGGCATGGAGGCCGACGATATTGAGCACATCTGGCAGCTGTCGTGGCGCACGAGCTTCTACCGGGGCGGGCCCGTCCTGATGAGTGCGCTCTCCGGCATCGACATTGCCCTGTGGGACTTGAAAGGTCAGTCGCTGTTGGGCCATCCGCTCATCCTTTGTCTATTGTCGTTTCAGGACTGCCGTTGACACCTTGACAGCTCGAAAACTCGGCGTCCCCATCCACCAGCTGCTCGGTGGAAAGCTGCGCACCAAGCTGCGCGTCTACGCCTGGATCGGTGGCGATCGGCCGGACGATGTCGAGAAGCAAGCGTAAGTGACCCCTTTCCCCCTCCTGCCCCACCTCTTTGAATAACACCTTCGTGTTGCTAACATGGGCAGTACTGCTCGCCGTGACCAGGGATTCCGCGCCGTCAAGATGAATGGCACCGAAGACCTTGGCTGGCTCGACGCCCCCGCGGCCCTCGACGGCTGCGTCGCCCGTGTTCAGGCCGTCAAGAACTTGGGCATGGACGTCGGCGTCGACTTCCACGGCCGCGTCCACAAGCCCATGGCCAAGCAGCTCGCCAAGGCCCTCGAGCCCCATCGCCCCCTCTTTATCGAAGAGCCACTGCTGTCCGAGCACCCGACGGGCATCGAGGAGTTGAAGGCGCTGACGACCATCCCCGTTGCCCTCGGCGAGCGCCTGCACAGCCGCTGGGACGTGCGCCCGCTGTTGCCGCACGTTGATATTTTGCAGCCCGACGTCTGCCACGTCGGCGGCATCTCGGAGCTGCGCCGCATTGCCGCGCTGGCCGAGACGTACGACGTGGCCCTGGCGCCGCACTGTCCGCTGGGCCCCATTGCGCTGG